GACCGTAACCACGCGTTTGCTTTTGTGAGATGCTGACCACAAGGGGCTTATTGAGCTAGCAAGCGAGCCTACGCCCCGGGGGCTCTCTCTCGTCCTTTTCGACAAGATTCTGACACACACTCGGGTGCTAATTAAAGATGTCAGCATAAATTGACAGGCGACCTTGTGTGTAACATTCCTCCGCGGGTGCATTGTCCTGGTCAAATGTCAAACAGTTTCCTTTCTATTCTTGTCGACGTGACTGAATGTCATTTTCATCATCATATCACAGTGACCCACACACAAGCTGGACACAATATTAGGTACACTTGCACAAAATGGTGGGGTATAATACGGTAGTTGTATTAACAATTCTGCATGCTTTTGGCAGCCTATGTGTTAAGGCAGCAATGTAGACTAGTTATCAGCACATCTGCCTCGCAGTTATGATGTTTGAGGTTGGAAACGTGGTCACTTTCATGTGGAGTTTCACATCTTGGGCAATTTAAAAGTCTTCATTGAACCTAACATGTAAGCTTTGGGGATGTGGAAGAAAATGCAGGCAAGAATGGGGAGGACATACAAACTCCACACATGATGTCCTGATCCAAAATTTGAACCCAGAACTTTGGTGAGGCAGAAATGCTAACCTCTACTCAACTGTGTATTTTTTCATCCATCCATTTTTGTACCGCTTGTCCTCATTTGGGGTCAGAGGTGAGCTGGAGGCGATCCCAGCTGACTGGGTGGGAGACACAGACCACCCTGGACTAATTGCAAGTCAATTGCAGGTAGCATCTAGACAAATAATTGTAAGTCTTCATTAAACCTAACACGTTTTACAACGTAAAGCACCACAAACGCAAAATTACCACTTGCATTTTTGATGTGGCATAAGAAGGCACCGTCACTAACTGTTGTACTTCTTTTACATTTCATGAGTTCATATTTTTGGTATAAAATTCTCAATACACACTTGGATTGAATCAAATAAGATTTTGCTGAGACACTGCACTTGACATCGCGACCCGTGAGTGTATTTTGGATGCTTATGCAGATAAATTGAGTTGTGGCCTGATTTTTTTTGTCAGCTTATACCAGGCTTCCTTCAGTCCCCAAGCCAAAAATTGAACTTGACTATTGCCCCAGTTTGTGTCACTTCCTCTTGTTTTTAATCACAGTAATCAAACACATTTCGGCATTTGTGTGGACAAGAAGCTAGCACTTTAGCTTGTGTCCCTTGTGAGGACAGAGGGGGTACACAATATTATGTAACCCAACATCTCGCACCTGCTGATGGGTGTAACATCGCACATTAGACATGAATTCAACAATATCAACTTACTATTGCATAATGTTGCACCCTGTGTTCCTGCAGATGAATGACAGTTTTATGACAGACATGGTATATATAATTGTTTTAATAAGACAGCGGTTGGCAGTACAATGAAATATAGCTTGGAGTAGTGGAAATTGTGACACTGGGACTTGGGTTTCTTGTCACAATAACACTAATGAAGTCATTTATCTCGTACCTCTGCAGTGATTTCGTCAAATGGTTTAGTTGCGAGAAGGAATCATGTAGGTGCCACATAGTGTCTCAGTAAGGTGCTGTTGTTGTCAGAGCGCGTTGCATTTCGAGCAGACTACCGCGAATGTGTCTTTGGTATGTTGAGGTTTCCTGTCAAGTATCTGGTGCTGCGGAAATAACGGCAAATTTTTTTTGAGTCACTCAGTAAATAATACCATCAATCCATCGTCCCATTTTCTGTCGCACTTCCTTGTTGAGCTGGACCCTGTCCCACTTTGGGTGAGAGTCGTGCGCCCTGGACTGATCTTCAAGACATTAAACTGAACAAATACTTTTAGATATTTGACATTTGTTTTCAGGAGTGAGCGATAAGACGGTTTTGCACCAGAGGCAATTGATAAAAACAGCACAGTTTTCAGATGGCACAGTTGGACAAGTGGTCAGCAAATTCCAATTTGCTGACTTAAACAAGGTCTCAAAACGATGACTACATTTTCAAAATAGTAGAATACAGCATATTTTCCCAATACAATGCTAAACTTTTCTTGATGAATTTGTTGAGCTGATACTGAATCTGCCCTTGTTTTTTGTTTTCTCGAGCAGATCAAGTTTTCATAATAATAATAGTATGTAATGTAAAATATATTTTTTGATATTTAGGAAGTAAGGTTTAGGTTCAGCAACAGGTGGAAATTTCTTATCTGAAACGTCATGGCGATAAATTACTACACATGGTAAAGTCCGCATTGCACAAGCTTTTGTAGGTCAAACTTAAAAAAAAGAAAGAAAATATCAAAAATTGGATGTGGTAGGAAAAAAGTAAAGATATTTTATAAAGCTGCATCAAAAATACATTTTTGGACACATTAAGCTCTCTGTGATTAAAATTTGCTGTTGACCAGCGTTCGCATTTGTTGACCTCAACTCAAGACTGAAAAACAAAAGTTGTGGTTTTGGATTTTCGATGACGCACCAAATGTTTCTGGAGCAAGAAAACACAAATAGTTTTTTAAAAATTGTGTCAAGTGTTTTATAAACGACAATGCACTTGTTTCCGTGCTTATTGAATGTCTCAGTGTCAAAATAACAATTGTGAACCACAGCGCTGTTGTCATGCTCGCACTTCGCCAAAGTGGACAAGAACAATCTTGCTACTGGTTAGAATTCCTTGCAAAGTGACATCGCCACCTACTTTCTAGGCAGTACATCGTATGGCTTTTTTTTTTCACGCAAACATGCCCTTCATTCGGAATAAGAGAGGCATCTTCTTGGTGCCGCTGATACTAAAAGGTCTGTTTGTGCAATCACACCAGTGGGAGGATGTTATAGCATCGCTCATTCTTTAATGTTCTTGATTGATTTTCGCTAAGACCAAATAAAACCACAGTATTGCGGCGAGGTTGTGGTTCTCACTGGCTCTACCAGTGGTGTCAAACATACGGGCCGCGGGCCGGAACCGGCCCCCAAGGAGGTTCTATCAGGCTCGCAGGGTAATTTAAAAGCGAAAGAATAGATAAAAGACACTGAATGAATATTTTTAATAAGCTGCAATTCATGGATCATCCGCCAAGGGAACACTGTTTTGTTCAGAGAAGGAGACAACAGCAGTCTCAGTCTGTCACTGAGACAGACCCAACACAGCAGTAAAAGCCAGCTACCTAATTGCTAGCGAAATAGCATTAGCATCAAAGCCATATTCCAACGGTGACTTTGTGAAACGATGCATGATGAAGGCGGCTGTACTTGTATGTCCCGAGAACCGACAAGCTTTTGCCAATATTAGCCTAACGGGGAATACCAGAGAGCATTTCGGACCTATCAGCAGATTTCGACAGCCAAATGAAACAGAGAGTCAACTCATTTTGTTAAATGTTTTTTGAAAGGTATGTTGATTCAATTTCAACATTTTCCTATTGTTCTTGTGCTTCTTTCGACCAAAACAAAAGAAAGACATGATACTTTGGTTATTTATAGCAAAGTATGGTATAGTTTTAAGGGTCCGGCCCACTTGACATCGACTGAGGCCACATGTGGCCCACAATGTGAAATGAATTTGACACCCCTGGGCTATACGATAGATAAGTCCTAAACAATATGAGCGCCCCCACAGACTGTATCATCGTGCTTCCCAGCTTGTTGTTTAAGGTCATTCTCACAATGATATGGCAACGCGATGGATTTTAGAGGATCGGGCATTGGAGTTGTCAGCCCAGAAATGATACAGCATACGCCTATAAAGTTGCGCCACTGAGTAATTGTTGGCCAATATGGTTTGATCCCAAATTACTCAGCTCAGGAAATCAGTTGTATTGCCTATCCTTATACTTGATATGTTACCTACATGCTTTGACGTGTACGGTTTATTTTAAAATCAATTTCCCTCTACTTTTGCAATTGCTGTACACAGGAAGGGTCACGCGCATGTGTGCTCATCACCCCCCCCCCCCATCTTGACACTTTTGTACGGTTTACTGTGGTTCCTTTTTAGGTTTCTCCACTAGTAGTGATGACGTTATTGGCCCTGAGTGCGACCCTGGAAGTACTAATGTACTACGACAGTTGAAAGTTGCGCAAGTGGTCAAGTTTGTAAATTTGTATTCCCTCCTTTCTCGCTAGCAGATAACCACGGAAATGTCGAAACAGGACAGATTTGACTTTGAGCGCTCACCTTGCATTCAGGCCACAATACATTCAGGGAATGTAGGCCAACTGCGGACTAAAACAGCCACACGGTTTGCAGTGAAACATTAAACTATTTGTGTAATTGATGAGGCAAGATAAGCAACTTGATATGTGTGGAGACCGGGGGACCACCACCACAAAAAAAAAAAAACTAAATAGAAAAAATAGCTGAGAGACAGCTGTGCGTGTCAGCTCCTCTTGTTTGTGTCATCTTGTGTTACTATAAGGGGCCACGCCGGAATGGTGGGCTTTGCTGTGAGAAGAGGCGATGGGGGGGTGAGCAGAAGCGCAAATTTAGAAAAGGTCATCGCTTCTTTTTTAGCGGTGGTTCTCGTCAGCTATTTGCTAGCCTCTTTTTGCTACGCACGTCGGATTTTCACTCATGAGCTGAAGTTGTTTCGAGAGCTGTGCGGTTCATCGGAATTCAATTAGATGTAATATTGTCGAGATAGTATCCATTTGATAATGTCTAAATTTGCACATGTGGGATCTATTGAAATTGTTGACTTAAATGTTACGGTTCGATGGCAATTTGTAAGTGTATTAAAATAACAATTGTCATCAATTTTGTTTGGTCCCAAAGCAACTTACATCATTACAGTGTTTCAAAGAATTTGATTGGTAATACTTTTTAAGAAACATTTTCTTGTTTTGTACCCAAACATTAAAAGAGCCATTGACTAATCGTGATTTCAATTAGGACCAAAATAATCGCGATTAATATTTTTATCATAATCGAGGAGCCCTAGATGGTTCGTGTGTTTGGCTTTTAAAGGAGCATTATTGATTACTTTCAGCTTACGAAAAACCCAACCATGAAAAGATGCCGTTTTCAAGGTGATGCCATATTATTTGCTCGATTTTATTTTTCCCCCCCATGAGCAAGGGCATATGTCGTATCAAATCAGACCTCGTTGGCTAAGCGAAAAAGCAGCGCGTCTTCTGGTCGCAGCCAAGAAGAGCCTCATTTTTGCCTCCGTTCTTCATGACACAAATAACCAACAATCATTTCTGTGCAATTGATTCATGGCAAATGAATTAACTACTGCCACTGCTGTGAATTAACATCCACACCTAAAACTTTTACTGCCATTTAGGTAGGACGAGTCGGCCCACGCGCGACCGAAATCTGTTTTTAATGAGAAGTTAGCAATCGGCCTTTGGACTGCCCAAAGCCACTTCGCGCTATTAGTGCGGACATGTCAAATAAACAGCGGGACCTGCTGCATATTTCCTCGTTCTGCCTCTGAGGCACCGGTCTTTAGTCCGGCCCTTCAGCATATTAGGTTTCAGATCTGCATGGCTCATAGCGCTCATGGCTGCGAGTGGAAATTTCCACTTCTCCTTGGAGCTCCTACTTCTGAATTTTCATGCTGTGGAGGTAGGTGGAAACAGCACTTGTGTTTTGGTGGATAATTCCTGCAAATCTATGTTTGGTGTTTTGGAAAATGACTAATTCAGACCACGTGACAGTGCAGTTCCGCATTCCATCGTGATAATGTGACATCCATTAAATTCGGATTGATCAATTTGGAGCAATGGGTCATGATTCGAGTCTTGGGGGAGCCTTTAAGATGTTTTCCGACTGGCGAGTCGTTGTGTTCATTGTGTTGAGGATCTTTGTCTGTCATCCTGACAGTTTGGCAACATGGTGAGTCACAAAAGGGTGGGTCTTGAGTTCCATCCTGTCATTGTTATCAAGTTTGATACCAGTCAGTGATTCAATCTTGCGTCGCTATTTTCAGACACGTGGTGGAAAGGACGGAGGATTTCACGACAATAAAACCCTGGCAGAGGCACCTTAAGAAGTGGTACGGGTGTTGGATGACCGTGTGAAGCGTCTTGTGCCTGCACTTGCTCATGCCAGTGAATGTGATGCACAAGTGTGGTTATGTAACAATGTCAAACGTTTGGAGCGAGAGAAACACAAGGTGGTAGAAATCACGGGGAAGAGGATAGCGGCTACAAACCACGAGAAGAAGCGTTTTCCAGCCACGAGACATACGGATACTGTCACGTCAAGCTTCATGGTGATTGCTTTGTTCAGGGAGTAAAAGGATAACATGCGGGTTAATTCGTGGTCAGATGCAACTTGCGGAACATTGCAGAAGTGCTGCGGTCATACCGAAAGTACTTTTAGGAATTTAAATCTGCCGTTCAACCGAGCTCCGTCTGTGCAGTGTTTATCTCTTGTTCTCGTGTTTGTTTGTCTTCGCCTTGTTTGACCAGTTAACTCAGTTTCCCGCAGCCGTCATCCGCCTCCTTAATCAGCCCTGCCCCAATCTTCCAATTGGACCCCGAGCAAAACAAATGTGCTGTGAAAGCTTCGTATTCTCACCAAGGAAACATTACATCTCAGTGGAGCATTTTAGCTTTTTATTCCATTTTAAAGGATTCATATTTGCAACCCCTCTCCTGTATGTGGAAATAACGTTCAGTGGAGATTAGGTGTCATTTTTTTACGATGGAATTGACACCTGAAAGCATTCCGTTTGCTTACAGCAAGGGTTGGATGTCTACATCCAGATGATGCCCGAAACCGATACTGCTCCACGGGTCAAGTTGCATCTTCATAATGTAAACCCCCTACGGCGTTCTTTTACTGGCGCTGAGCCGGCAATGACAAGCATACCAGCGAAGATGTATGACCACTTTTTGAAGTATGATCACTGCCCTAGTGACCCAATAGCACGTGAGACATTTTGGACCCGACTTCTTTCACTTTCCCTAACACTGTGATTGACAGTACAATGCACAATCATGTTCATATCTTAGTAAAGGCATCAACCCACGATCTCTAGATCACCCCTGCCAGGAATGATATTTTTCTCTTTGGCCTATTCTATTATCACAGAAAAATGAACAATTAGCCGACTCTGGATGGAGTAACGGAGTGTCAAGGGCAAACACGGAACTGCAAAATGTAGCTTGGTTAATACTCTTTTTGTGTTCTTTCTTTCAGACACAATACGTGTCTCCCTGGTGCTGTTTGAACTCACAAGAAAATTGAGCTGCCATTGACTGTGTGTAGATAAGTGGGGGGGGGCTTTGTTCAGAAAAGTGAAACAGGTGTTATGTCTGTCATGGAGTCTATAAATGTGGCAAAGCCCGGGCAGAGAAGTCAAAAGATGAATCCCCTGACAAGGCCCTTGCAAGCTCCTCTCTTCTCTTGACTCGATATCATCCTGACGTTCAAGCATAAAATCAATTATCTCTCGTATCGATTTTTACAACCTGTCCTTCTACGTGAAGGAAACACAATTTGATAGCGCTGTCAAATTTTTTCGAAGGTTGGCACCAGGCCATTCTGTGGTCTCGGACTCCAAAAAAAAAAAAATAAAAATTCTCCTTTGCACCATTTCAGTTTTAACTTTGGGCACTATTCTCCTGTTTTGCCCTCTGATCAGACTGACCTGGTTTTCTAGGAACGGCTTTGACTCCTGATTTTAGAAAGGATTCCCATCCCAGTAATTTGAGTAGAGTCACAGTAGTCCATCTCGAGAACGTCACTGTGCCTTCCTGTGTTTACATTTCCCAGTCTACTTTCGCCACTGTGGTGTCGGTGAACGTCTTTAAGTCTGGAGTTTCTACATTTTGGGTTATTGGCATTGGTCAGTGCAGAACATCCTGAAGCATACACACGCATTCTGAGCAAGTATTGTATTTTCTGGTCTCTTGTCAAAATAAATCCAGTTGCCATACCAGTCCATGAACTTTCCAACCTCTTCTCTGTCAATGATTCAAATTTTTTTTTCAAAAAAACAATGACATCAAAGATTAAGTTTCCAGTGTCAAAACTGTATTTATTTTGGGTTATAATGAAGTTGCCCCCAGAAGGACAGATGGAACCGTCGTCGGCGGTACATTGCACTGGGTGCAAATGAAATCGCTCGAAAAAAATCGTCTCACATTACATGTCGATAACCAGACAAAACCTCCATCTGTTCTGATGTTTGCAAATGGGGAGTGTCTTTCCTCACTTCCACAAGGAGTAAAGGTGATTTATTCCTGGGCTGCGTGCCTCCTTCCTTTAGACATGTCCAGTCATGTCCCTTTCCAAGATTCTGGAAGAGCCCCTTGACTACAACCGCTCTTGTTGTTGTGTCCAGCTTTTATGGATTATGTTGGTTCGAGCTTATGTGTGGGGAAACTAAGCATCAGTTTACCCCCTGAATAAAAGATTCTTGCCTCCAGTATGTCATTGATTTACTATTCATGTTGTGTTATGTTTAATTATGTGTAATTCTATTCACTTGCTGCCATTTCTGTTGACATGTACAATTAGCCGTGTGGTGCGGCCCGGTGGTCCAGTGGTTAGCGCGTCGACCTCAAGTGCAGGTTCAATTCCAGCTCTGGCCTCCCTGTGAGGAGTTTGCATGTTCTCCCCGGGCCTGCGTGGGTTTTCTCCGGGTACTCGGGTTTCCTCCCACATTCCAAAAACATGCATGGCAGGCTGATTGAACACTCTAAATCACAGGTGTCAAACTCAAGGGCCGGGGGCCAAATCTGGCCCGCCAGGTCATTTTATGTGGCCCGCAAAAGCAAATCATGTGTGTCAACTTGTTAAAATCTGTACCGCAATGTCAAATTGTCATGTGTAATAAATCACGTTGAGATCGTTGCAATAATTTTGTTCTCCTGTTTACACTCACTTGAACAATAATTGAACAAACTATTAGAATTGACGGTTTGCAAAACTAGTAATCTATTAATTTGTTGTGTAAGTAATAATTTTGTGGTTTCACTGTCATAATGGCCCTCCGAGGGAAGATGTAACTCCATATTGGCCGCGACTAAAATGAGTTTGACACCCCTGCTCTAAATTGTCCCTAGGTGTGAGTGTGAGGGTGGATGGTTGTTTCTCTCTGTGTGCCCTGCAAGACAGCTGGGATAGGCTCCAGCACCCCCCGCGGTGTGGGCCACATACGGACTCGGTAGATGTCAAGTGGGCCGGACCATTAACATTATACCATACTCTGCTATAAATAACCAAAATATCATGTCTTTCCTATGTTTTGGTAGAAAGAAGCATTGGCGCATTGATACCGTCTGCTGTGTTGGGTCTGTCTCAGGAACAGATTGAGACTGCTGTTTTCTTCTCTGATCAAAACAATGTTGTCTTCTACTCTGATCAAAACGGTCTGCCCCTAGCGGATAATCCATGAATTGCATTTTATTGAAAATATTCATTCTGTGTCTTTAATGCATTTTTTTCACTTTTAAATTATCCTGCGGGCCACATTGAACCTCCTTGGGGGCCGGTTCCGGCCCGCGGGCCGTATGTTTGACACCACTGACTTAGAGTAAGAAACACACCGTGCTAAGAAGTGAGTCCAGTCATTTTGAAAGTAGAACTCACTTCAGTGACCTTTTCGTTTCACTTCTTTTTTCATGACTTTTGATGTGTTGGTCTGCGTGTACACAGCGTGCATGATAAGGTGTCTGATCGTGGTCTCTCTTGCTTTCCAGAACATCCATGAGCTCCGATTCTTCACACTACAGTTTCAGGATGCCAAATATAGGGTTCCAGAACCTGCCTCTTAATATTTACATTGTTGTGTTTGGGACAGCCATCTTTGTCTTCATCCTCAGCCTCCTCTTCTGCTGCTACTTAATAAGGTAAGCACTATTACACCTTTTTAGCTTGATCAGTTTAACTGGACATTGTGGACTGTACGCTACATGGCCTCATTCCAATGCACAATGGAATACATTTAAAAACCCTATTTTCATATTTTGCGCAAGTCTGACTCAAAGCATGGTTTAACTATGCGCATGAGCGGAGATTACTTTCTTAAGGTAATTTCACGGACGCGTGCATGTAGACATGGGTATTTGCGCCATTGTGGGTGTGTACACAGCTGACTTGATTCCCAGCCAGTTGAAGTGGATCCTCTCATTCTCTTTAAATTCGCCTCAGGAGAGGCACGCAGTCGACATAACGGAACTCGCTATTGCAGGAGAACAGCGGGCGCAAAGTACGTTTATAAGAACTACAAGATCTCCACTTGCGGATGATGGAAAGGTGGCCACTGTAAAGTGGTGACTTGAGACTGCCTTCCAATCCCAATCGAACACACCCCACCTATAGTTGTGCCATGGTCAGGGGGGTGCTTTTAAAAATATATTCAAGGCGATGACAATAATACGGTGACATCGACCATACGTATCAGCGGAGCACAGAAATTGTCTGCCTGAGCTTCGATCAAATCCAATGACAATAATACGGTGACATCGACCATACGCACAGAAATTGTCTGCCTGAGCTTCGATCAAATCCAACAAAATCATGTGACATCTGTGTCCCAAATTAGACTTGCTTTTAGCTGGTCTAAGGTCTCGTCGACTTTCTGTCACCAAATTGTCAGGTGCGCCGGGGGCGTGTAATAGAAAACACCCTCATTCTGCCCGGTGTGTCAAATGGCCAAACACAGTTAACTCGAGTTGCCCCGGAAAGAAAATTAAGATGCGGCAGTTTTTACACGGAGTGCATGTGCGCCTTTCGACGGGAATAGAACTTGAAATGTATTTATAGCTAAACAAATGTTGCAAAACAGTCAACCTAGGCAACCGCAAGGCCGACCACCTCCACAAATATTGCGACATATGACACAGCATTGTTAGTTTTTCTTGGAGGGATCCAGTGTAGTCCAGATTTTACTGGCCTTTTAAGTTAAATCGAAAAGTGTGTAGTACAACTTTGTACATAACTAATTGATATGAAATCCTAAACATGCCTAATAACTTTATTCAATCTCAGGACAATATTAGATCAAGAACAATGTTAGCCAGAGCAGCAACCGTGCTGCAAATACACTTGGAGTCATGTGTCAACTGTAAGATTTTGGTCATTTAAAAAAAAAAAAAAAGTTGTTGTATTCATTGTGTTTGTAGGTGTAAATCATTTCAACAGCACAGTTTGGAGAATTTTTTTTTTTCAATCGTGATAAGGTGTGAATCTGAATTCAAAGTGATACTAAAATATAACCATCAAAACCTATTGTCTGCATTCTGATAATCATGGCACTTTGCGTCAAAGGATCTCGTCTTAATCCTGCTTTACCTATTGCCACGTTTGCCCTACTTAGTACCTACTCTGTTTGACGTGACGCATCTCGCTAGTGGTGCTTTGCCATCGGCAAAAGCAGGTACTCCCAGATTACACAAGGTACCATTGTATGTCCGCAAAGGTTGAATCAGTCAATGTTTTCTCAAGACTTCTTCATTTCTAAATTTCTTAAGTGTGGTGTCTTCCCATTTATGCCCCAGTGTGTTAGTTTCTTGGGGGCGGTCCAGTAAAAAAAAAAAAAAAAAAAAAGTGTGTGTGGGATGTTGTGGAGGTGCCGATGAAAATTCACTCGGGTGATAATGTGTACGTATGTGCAATATAAGCTCCACAAACAAAATTGTGTGTGTGTGTGTGTGTGTGTGTGTGTGTGTGTGTGTGTGTGTGTGTGTGTGGGTGGGTGTGTATAATACACACCCACCCACACACACTCAAACACACCTTGGAATATATCAGTGTGGCCCGCTGCCATAGACTATTCTAATTCAACCGCAAAGAGTATACCATGTGACTTTGATGCAGTACCATGATTTTATCCCCCCCCCCCAAAAAAAAAGTAGACATTTTCAAAGGAAAAAAAAAATAGCATTTTTGCTCATTTCAAAGCATCTAAAGATGCAGTCTCCCAAAGTTAGCATCCCTGTCTAGGTGCACTAAACATTTTTTATGTCATTTCTAGCATTACAGCATCTTTTGTGGCTGATACTGTGGCCACATCCATACTCCACTTTCTATCAGTGGTCGTTTGTAGATTTAACAACTATAGTTCTTCTCCCCCCCAGAATTAAGCTCAAACAAGTCCAAGTGTGCGCCAGCCAGCAAGGTTTTGTAACTGAATGCAATACTGCTCTTGGTTATCTCGTATTCTCACCACATCCTGCAATTTGTTGAAACAGCCAGACCAAGATGTTCTATTTTTAATTAATATGCACATTTTGCTTGGATTACATCACGGTCACACTAAGCAGGTGTCTTCAAACACAAATTAAAAGAGAGAGGAGGGGGGGGGGGGACCAGCCAGCCAGCCTTTACCAAACAGACTTTACCAAACAGGACTGTTCAGTTCTGCCACCATGAATGGAATTGAAAATCATAAATAGCATGATAGTGCAACATAACAGTATATTCAACAAAAACGTGACATCATGAATACACTTCAACAGTGTCCATTCAGCATTTGCATGTTGTTCTTTCCTTGTCAAAAGACAACACATCATTTACAATTTGTAGTCTTCCCATGAAGAGATAATTCACTCCAATCAGTAGAATCTGTCTAATTGCACTCTGTTAATTGGAACAACTATGACAAACATACAGTACCAACGGAAAGGGGAATATTTATATATTTTTAAAAGCCTAATTTATCAGTCGTTTTGGTCGGTGGAAAAAAAAAACTGAATTAAACACATCTCTGCTGCTTGTTGAAAATAGACCTGTGATACCTTTGGAAGTCTAATTATAAAATGTGCATCTAGTGGGAATGTCAGCTTCCACCCCCGTCTTCGACTCTTGGGAGTCTCTGCATCTTTACCTGCTGACTTCGTTTTTTTTTGTTTTTTTTGTTTTTTTTTTTTGAATTAATTAATTTTAAAAATGTCAGTTTCTCTCCTAGACTGTGCTGCTTGTTTTACAGATCCCTCTCACTCTGCTGCGAGAGGTTAAGGTTACTTGTAATGGAGGTAAATCTTACAAACCTATGAATATCTCTTGTTTCTCTCGCTCATCCTTCCCCCTTGTCCTCCATGTTTGTTGCCGCTCTCGTAGCCTAGCCGCTCCTTTTAAGTGCTATGCCTGTTCTCTCCTCACTCAGGTGATTTCATTTTGGCAATGTTTACGAAGAGCTACACGGAGAGGTCCAAGCAAAACTGGGTTCTGCCCCTTAACATTTGTATCAGTTCCAATTTTTTTTTTTTTTTTTTGTAAAAGCTATTTGTACGCGTCAGAAATAAAATCATACACACAACTGCTTTGAATGCATTTTCAGATCTCAGAGAGCAGTAGTTAGGGTTTGACTTAACCTGTAATTGGTTAATCCAGCGCCAATGATTCAGTGATGAGTCTCATGACCGCAAAGGCAGTCAAGTAGGACGAAGCCAACACAAGAAACCTCCTCAAATGCCCTCTCATAGTCGTGTGATCTCATGCAAAATGTAGCACCTTTTACATCTCGCTATCATCTGATATCTCCGTAGCATATTTATAATTAGTGTCATGAGGCAAGTATTTGACAAGTATGTTTGTTTGTTTTTTTCTGTTCCCCCCCACCCGCCCAAGGATCTCTGAATGATCTGTGTAGTAATGATGTGGTGAATGTGGAGGTAACTTGCTAATCGGAAAGATGTTTTGTCTTTACGTCTACCCAGGTTACGGCACCAGGCGCACAAAGAGCTCTATGCATACAAACAAGTAAGAATTGCGGTCATCTGAAAACAGTACACACAGCTGTCTGGCAATATTGTATTTGTTACGGGGGCGGGGGGGTGCTTCTGCATTCATCAGCATGTGCTCTGACAAGAACGAGGCAGTCGACGGCTTTCAGCTTTCAGTGCGAAAGCCAAAAGAGAGGCTCTGATTTTCTAAGATCCCAAATAGCATGCGATAAATGCTGTGTTTACTCACTGAAACAGATTGCGCTGTTGGCGACAAGTGTAAAAATGGCAGAGACCGCTGTAATTACAAGATGGTCGCAGAACGCTGCACCAAATGAACTGTGTGGCAATTAAGCGCGTTTTGCACATAATTGGTAGATCCACTTCCACATCTGTTTTCGTGAGCTATTAAGGTTGATCGGCTAACTTAGCTGGGTCAACAACAAAGGTTTCTGTCTTGAAACTATAATTAATCATGATAAAACTCCATATATTTGCTATACCTGGAACCACGCTTGGGTGGGTACCGTATTTTCCACACTATAAGGCACTTCGGAGTATAAGATGCACCTTCAATGAATGGCCTATTTTAAAACTGTTTTCATATGTAGGGTGCACAGCATTGTAAGGCCCATAGTATAGAAGCCACAATAGTGGCTGCAGTTGTCTTCTGCATCCACTAGATGGAGCTACACTAAAGGGAATACAATACAATACAGTACAGCTTTATTTATCTAAAGCTGTAACAAGCGGCTGCAACTGTAACAAAGCACTTTACAGAGCATTTAAAATACTACGTCAAAGCAAGCAGAATATTGATCCATATATATATATGTGTGTGTGTGTATATATATATATATATATATATATATAAATCTTGCCCTGCGATTGGCTGGCGACCGATTCAGGGTGTCCCCCGCCTACTGCCCAAAGACAGCTGGGATAGGCTCCAGCTCCCCCCGCAACCCTAGTGAGGATTAAGCGGTTCGGAAAATGGATGGATGGATGGATATATTATCAGGCGCACCGTCGGCTTTTGAGAAAACCGAATGCTTTTAGGTGCGCCTTATCGTGCGGAAAATACGGCAATCATTGGAATATTCAGTTGTATAATCAATTCTACAAAGATGAATCAGGGACAGCCCTAAATACAACATCTCTTGCTTGGCCAAGGTAAAGCTTACCTTGAGTTGGAGCAATTATGAATATAAAACACATATTTGTCCCCTCGCTATAGCCTTGAATAAATAACTTGCTTTTTATACAATGCTAGCGTGACTAATGCTTTTCTTTCTCTGATATTCCTTTCAAGGTCATTCAGAAGGAAAAGGTGAAAGAGTTAAATTTGCATGAGGTCAGTTCTCGCCTTTCTTCATCATCTTCAATCACTTGAAGATACTGTCTTTGCTGTCAAAATGTTTTGTTTTTGTTTTTTTTATTTTTCACAACGGACTACCAAGAAGTTAGCTTGTCGTCAAAACATCCTGTCATGTCACCATTTCACCACGCACGGAATATCTTTGATGCTTTTTAACAGAGAAGCCGTTGCACATCATTTTAAGAGGGCAATGTTTTAATACAGGTTAGTAGCAACTACTTCATACAAAATAGGGTGCGCTTTAATTTAAGGAAAACGATTTATCATGAAAAGGGCTAAGATAAAAATCATAATTTAAAAAAAGAATCTGTGCCCTGAAGCACAAAGGGGCCTTTGAAATGCACAACACCGCAGTCCCCCAAAAACAACTTTGTGCTGTGAGCAAAGTTGCCGATGTAGATCACAAGAGTCAATTGTTCTGTTGTGCCAACTTAGTTATTCATGAATATCATCCAAGGGCATCTTCCCTGTAGTGCTCTGCTGACCATAACTGTCAAACCATGACCTGTCAAAACAATATTCGCATTGTTTTACTTACCATATTTCCGCAAGTTTATTTACTCCGTTGTAGATAGGCGGAGGCCTTTATTTATGAACTGACATCATGAGACTTACTACCCATTTTTTTTTTCCTAACTGGCAAAAGGGAGTCTATTTATTTAGAATAAGGGTCACTCATTTTGGAAATAACATGTTGAATGCAGCCAAGAGTGCTCTCACTCGAAGCATTTCTTGTTCATCTGGCCCTGGGCATTATGGAGACATATTTGATGGCTCGTTGTGTCACAACAAGCGTCAGGAGTTTCTTGTTTGTGTTATTGCAAATAGAAAAAAAGGCATCTGACATTGTCATGTGATGTTACAAGCACTACCTACTTTTTTTGGTCCCACATATTTTGTTTTGATCGTTTCGGGAATGGTGACCCAAGGGATTCTGTTTACACGAACGCGCTTTTAAACAATGTCATTATCCGCACAAAATGCCGAAAAGTACCGCCCCTACTTCATCTTATGATTTCATCCTGCCAAACAGGAGAGTGCAAAGCTGTTTGATGTCCGCTGGAAAAGAAATTCTGTCTAAAAATAACTAAATAAATAAAAATAAAAACAAATAAAGTCTCCTCTCTTGGTGTCTTGCAGATGTGCGCGGTTTGCTTGGAGGAGTTCAAGCAGAAAGACGAGCTGGGGATTTGTCCGTGCAAACATGCGTTTCATCGGAAGTAAGTGCAACGCTTTGTTGATTTTTCATGCGGACACACACAGGAAAGTACACATGGATCTATCCGGTTTTGGGATTAAGTTAAAATAGCCCCAAAAATGAGTCATCTGCCTCATAAAAAAAAAAAAATAAAATAAATAATAACCCATGCATCTTATACTAGCTTGGAATAAACAAGTGAATGGTTCCGGTAGTTCCTCCTACAAATTGTAACTTTCACAGATAAATGTGTAAGGGAACTCTGCAGAGTCCATGACCACTTGACCGAGCTAACTTTGCCCCACATACACACAGCCTGCGCCCTTTCAACTGAGTTGTTTATATCAGCATGACACCCCCCCACCCCGGCGTAGTTTCTCCTCACTTGCTTCCAGAATGACCGCCACTTACTATAAGCGTGTGTGCGTGCGTGGGTGAGTGTATGCCTCAAAAGTGGCCTCAGAGAGCTAGCAAATCTATTGAGACTGAACTCAACAAGTGTGTCCAAACAGCAGCTCAGGGAAGTTATTCCTGACATCATACAAAGAAACTCAATCAGAGAATCTGCAAAAACTCCCAAGTTCATTGGAGGCAAGACTTGCGAGGCCGCTAATTAAACAAGACATGCCGCGTTAAAATGTAACTTGACCTGTTTGGTTGTTATGGATTGAAATGGCGTTTCAGCAAATATCACCTCAGAATGCTCCAAATTCAACAAAGGACTATTTTCAGTTGTTTCCAACCTGTGAAGTATCTTGAGACACTACTGCACATAATAAAACGGTGCACCTGATTTGTTTTTATTTGAAAAAAAATATGCTGTTATCATTGGGAGGTTTGTCTCAAAACAATCAAATTATTCTTGAACAGTTGATGACTTAAATAAAAGAAATAATTGCCATTTGCAAAGACTATTTATAGAAATCTGATAACAAACCAAAACAAAACATAATTTGGCTAATAACATTTTGTGCGGTGGAAAAGTGTCTTTCATATTAATTCACAGTTCATCTGCAATTATTTTATTCCTGTATGATGATTCTGAAATTGGTTCTTGTAAAATAGATGAATGTCTTGCTGGCATTTGTTAAAAAAATAAATTAAAAATACATGGGAAGAGGACGACCTTCCTTGAAAAACTAATCGCAATATGAGCGGCAAAAAAAAAAAAAAAACGCAATTAGTTTATTTTCCATAATCGCTTAGCCTTCATGTAAATGAATATTTTGTCTATATTTGATTGACTGGTGACCAGTCCGCAATGTAACCCGCCTCTCAAAGTCCTCAAAGTCACCCGTGATAGGCTGCAATGGGTCACCAAGGACTGGAAATGTCCTGTGCACCCAATCAGGTGTTTTCGGATCGTGCTGGCTTTGTACCTTCCTCTCGTTGATCCCTACAGTTAGTAGACCAAGTCTTCATGACCTCCTCTCCCTATTTGCCAGATGCCTCATCAAGTGGCTGGAAGTGAGGAAAGTGTGCCCGCTGTGCAACATGCCCGTTTTACAGCTTGCCCAGCAGGCCGGCACCACGGAAGCTCCCGTGCCCATCCAGCAGCCTCTGCCCGGTGTCGAGAACCTGGTCTAGTGAACCTGAAGCCAACAAAATGGTGACACTAAAAAACATACATACATACATACAAAAAAATATATATATATTTGTGTATGTACACATCAGTCAAATAGTCAGCTGTACAGGTCCAATTTGTTGTGGCTCTGCGGACCCGCCGGGTGAAAAAGACCATACAGTACATTATCTTCACAGGGACTCATAAAAAGTTTTTTTCTTCAACTCGCTTGGATTGATCATCGGCTGGATTAACCATTTTTCTTTCTTCATGGACACGGAAAGAACGTTGATATGGTTCTTAACTAACGCGCTTTTTTTCTGTGGACACCAGGATGACAACAAACACAGCAGCCAAGATCTACAATACACAAAATACTCTTCTTTCTTTTTTGTTTTTTGTTTTTTTTTTAATTTAACAAGCACTTTACAAGAAGTTAAAACCTAATTGCTTGCCATTGTCGTAGCAAGGGTATGTTTTATATCTGATTTTTGACCATTACTTCCATGTTCAGCATATCGCCTCACAAGTTTTCATTTTGTCGTCAGTAAACTTTGACCCAAAACATAATTCCCAAAGGGACCCAAAAATACTTTTGGGAAACGTTTGGAAATAGTCAGATATTTTCATGACTTCACACACACAGTCCATTCATTTTAAATGAATGAGTTACACATGCCAAACTTTATCTGAAGTGCCCGTCTTTTTAGTCATTATTATTATTATGCAACTGTTTTGATGGTTTGTATTCTGCAAGTCAATAAGGATTTCACTAAATAAATGACCATGTCTCCTCATATAGCGGCTGTACGGTGAAGGTGGCCGCACTAATTTACTATACTGCAGAGAGTACTGGGCGCCAATTAGCGGTAAGACCTTTATTCGTAAGACTTATTCGTATGAGTCTGTTACATCATCTTCCCAAATTATTGTTCACAGATTCTGAGAACCATGATTGAGGCAATTACATAAACATTGAGCCGAGTAAGCAGTGCAGTACTGGTTTGAGATGTGGCGTTTCTTTCGTCATTCATTAATTAGAGAGTGGTGTCAATCAGAGTGAAGGTCATTATTTGAGGAAATATGGTACGTTTTGATTTCACGACTTTTGTAGGGTAATAATATCTGAATACGATACACTGTTTTTGAAGAAAATGAAGAAAACCGCAACAAAGTCCTTAAATGTAGAAACACAACTCAACGTAGTGTGAATATTTTAAAGCAGTATTATAAAGTATCGGGGCTTTCAAAAAAAAAAACAAACACTTTATGAGCATGAATGCCACTTGTTGTTATTCGTTCACGAAACGTGTTAAAGCAGCACTAAAAATGCATCTCAAGTTTTGACTTTTCGTGTGTATTTATGGTTGAGAGGGAGTTGCCCCCCTGCTAGAGCCAGCGCTCACTGGATGTAATGAAGCAGCATTTCCATTCATATGCAGACACACACTGAGGACACACACTGAGGCGCGCACACACATTCACAAGCGGGATGAATCTTTCTCGAGCTTTCGCTTCTCACTCTCTTTCTCTACCTTTTTGTTTTGGATGGACCACTGAGCCCTGCTTTTTGTGTCCCTGGTTGTGAGCTCCACTCGCTAAAAGTGCTGATCGTTTTCGAGAGCAGCAAACAACAAAAAACAACAACAAAAAAAAAACAACACCTAAAGGCACAACCAGTAACATCCCAAAAGGTGAAATGCAATAAAAGTTGAAGAAATAAAAAATCTGGAGTTCCATTGGACCATGTCTATACCCAGAACAAATAACATACAAACTTGCTTTAAGTATTTGACTGTCTACAAATTGTTTTCAAAAATAACCTGTGCAGAAATACTTTTTTGAACGATATAAGATAATAGATGTTTATAGAAAAATGAAGCAGAATTTCCATTCAAATGTCAATTAAAAAAATGCCACAAATGGCTTTTTTATTTTCAAAAGTAAATTAGTGCCTTGAGATCTGAGTGACCCGACTTGTAAGTTTTTCAAGATACGAGCTGCCGTTTAGCCAATTTTGTGCTTTGACTTGCGAGCAAAAAGTCGAAATGGGAGCATTGTATGGTGGCTGTGAACTCAGGTCACATCAAGCACCCGTTTGGTAGATGGGATGGAATTGAATAAAAAAAGTGTCTTTGAGCTTTTTATTGCTCCACCCAGTTCAATTTTACAGTCAAACTAAACACAAAACAGAGAGAATTGTATGTTTTGTCTTTGAAACAACGGCATGACTTTAGCCTAATGTTTGCTAGCTTAATGCTAATACATAATGGGAGATGCCTTGAACGGCCTCACAAATTGCATCACTGTTGCAGTGTGATATTTGAACACAAATGGTGCAGCAACATATATGCACACCGACAAAATAAGATTCACAGGTATTGGATATTCTTTATCCTCGCGCCACTTGTGAGGATAAGCGGATTAGAAAACAGATTCTGAAACACCTCATAACTGCTTTTTTTTAGGGTTGTTTTCTTTTTAGTGGGGAGGCTGGTACAGGTTCAAATGCGTATGCTGATGATTTGACTCAGATCTCAAGCAACCACTCTAATTGGGCAATATGGCTAATTTGAGGTGTAAGTGTCTCTGAACTGTTTTGGGAAAATTACTGATTGTGCCTTTAACAACACAATGTCAAAGTTACACAACACGCTTCCATACTTTAGAATGCATGGTTTTTTATATCACACACACACACAAGGTGCCATATTATATGGACACAACTTTTTTTGGTGCACATCTACAAAACTTGGGAACAAGTTCTTCTCAACATTAGCCTTTTTCAGAACAAAAACCACATCCATTGCTTCTTTCACCGTTGCCACAGGTGTCAAAACTCCTCCCCTCGAGAGCCACTATCCTACCTGTTTTACAATCTAAAAGTTTGATGTTTCCCTCCCTCCAGAACACTTGATTCAAAATGAGCAGCTCATCAGCAAGCTCTACAGGAGCCTGATAATGATCCGGATCATTAGAATCAGCTCTGCTGGAGGAGGGAGGATTGAAACGTCTAAAACATGCAGGATAGCGGCCCTCGAGGAGCCGCAGTTTGACACCAGTACTACCAGACACATTTTGAGGAATTAAATAGCTTACAATGGTTATTGTGACTGTTGGTGACCCACTGTCGCCACAGACCCACAGTTTGGGAAAGCCTGACCGAATGAAATGGCAGTACATAATTGAATGAACAAAATTAGCAACAACATAGCAGTGTTTGTGACGTTGTGTGCTTCACTGTCTTTTTTTTTTTTATTTTAAATTGAAAGGCTGCATCACTTAACAAATGTTACGCATACTCCCTCGAAACGTGATTTTGTGTTCGAGTATTTGTTGTTCACTGGTAGCAACGCAAGTCTTACGTCCTTGAATGTATCCTGCTTGGTTCAATGTGAACGCATGCTAACTTCTGCGTACTGATCGTCACCATTGTAACATGTTTGCATTGTAGTGTCCTGATGCCATAAAATGATCTTGAAACGGGGTGCACGCATACCACTTTTTTTTTTTTTTTTTTTTTTTTTTTTACTTGTGAGAGACCCCACATACCATAAGGAAAAAACAAACCAAAACACCACATGATCATATTTGAAACTTTACCGATAATCGTCCGTTTGCTCACTTTGATAAAGAAGGGGTGACATGGCTCAAATTAGGTTTAATTATCTTTTATGTGTCGAGTTCACTTTCCTCACCACAGGATAATCTTCCAGAGACATCTGACAATTTGGCTTTTACTGTACTGACTTCGATCAGAAAGGGAGGAAATGGCTCAAATTAGGCCCAGTGAGTTGCACGTGTGTTAGCCTGATTCGCGGTTGACTGTCCCGACTGTTTTCCGAGTAAATTGGGAAGAAAAAATGACTTTTACTGCACCCCAATGCCATAGGATAATATTAAAAATATTAATAATTGGTCCTTTTCTGACTTTGATCAGAAAGAGTGTTCAGATTAGGTCCAATTAAGGGTGTCTGTGTGCCCCGCTTCAAGCGATCATCTCCTGCCATCAAAAAGTGTTCTGTGTTGTATTGTGAACGTCACAAATCTAATTCCAGTCCAAGTGCCAAAGGAGACTTTTTGCAATATTGAACAAATGTAATCGAAGAGAGCAAAGTGATGTTGGCACGAGTGCAGGAGGAGAGTTACGCTCGAAATGCTTCATCAATCAAATCAGAATTTCATTTGAATCTCTGTGGATGCTTTAAGGACAAGCACACTCGTTATTTATTTCACTGTAGCTTTGTGGTGCCCAGAAAAAACACACAAGTAATAATAATAATGTCCAATATAACAACCCTGCCTTTGTTGTTAACACAGATGTTCTGTTTGTGGGCTTTCACAGACATTGTTTGTAAAACTAAGAATTCTGCAGCAGAATATTTTTGGAAATAATAATAATAGCTGTACAGCATTTGTAAGCTCTATTTTTGTATATTGCTATTTTGAGAGGGAAATAATACTATGATTTGTTTGTTTGTTTTTTCATGTTTTTTGGGGGCTAATTTCATGGTTATTCGTTTTCAAAGGAAAACAATTGCATGTGACTGACTTGAACTGTAATAAAGTTTCCAAGATTTGAGTCGGTTTCTTTGTCGGACAAATTTGATATCAAATATTGACGAGCTTCTGTGGGAAAATAAATAATGGCAGTTCGATACCCACAACAAATTGGTTGTCCCGTCAAGCTCACAGCCCAGCGGTTCAGCGACCCTCCCAGTCTCGGATATATCCCCCACCCCCCCTTTTTTTTTTTTTAAATACAACCTCCACGTTCCCAAAAATCTGGACTGTTGCCAATTTGGCCAGCTACAGTACCCCGAAATGTTGTCTTATAACGCCATCGTGTGGCCATATCGTGTAATTGCAACTCAACAGGTTTGAGCTTTTGTGTTTTGCTGCGTTTTTGATCTGTGGGATTTTCTTGATGCAATCAAAAAGTGGTAAAGAAGTGGAATTGGACTTTGAAGTTGCCGTGACAGTTGGACATGGTAGACGTCTCTGTGCCGGTCCAGTAGCTTACAAGTACACACCGTCAACTCCCTCTGCTGGTTGGGTGAGTACACAATTGATTTTTTTCAGGTCCGAGTAGGAACAATGATGAACTTGTCCATTCAGGCTCTCCTGGCCCATCCTCCCCAAGCCAAAGAACCTTTTTATGACTTCTGCTCCTTGTGTTCAGTATGTATGATCATTTTTATGTTGTATTACTCTTTCAAGATTCCCCCATGAGCCATAAAAGACCAACCTGTTCATGCTAACTGTATAACACAGTTAGCTCTCCAGACTGTTTCAGGTCCCCTCCCGCCCACAAAAATATGAAATAAAAATTAGAACACACATGGTGATGGCATGCAGTTAGTTTGGTAGTTTAAAGATTCCCACCTCTGCCAACATTTTCCATAATTCAACATACCGGCAAATCAAAAATCAATTTTAGTTGAAGTCTGGTTCAAATCAGGCTCTGTGTACACAATATTTGTCTTGAGGAATGACATTTTATATTCAAATGTTGGTATATGTTGGGTCATTTTGAGAAGAGTCATTGAATTTCATTGTAAAAAAAAACCCCAAACATTTATTTGTATTGTTTTCTAATGTAAAACAGGTCAAATTCGACCCAAAAGTATTTAAAATGGATTGGGGGGGGGGGTGATATGTCCCCGTTTCATTAATTGATATAATGCATATGATGAAATAGTTTCCATTGAACGTGTCATGACAATCAACACCTATTGAAATAAATTTATTTGTCACTTGATGAATGCCAATTCAATAAATTACATAGTCTGTACAATATTGCAAGTCCATACTTTCACAGTTACACATACATATTTAAAAATGGCAGTGGGAACTAAAACAATAAAAATACTCGCACACACAGTGTCATAATTGACATGTTAAATAATTGTTACTTTTTTTTTTTTTTTTTTTTTTTTTTTACTTTTCAAAATGACAACATTAAAATGCAAGACATCCACATCTTTGTTTCGACCTGTCAGTGCACATTCAGTGGCATTTTAAATGAAATCAACCACCCCAGCGGGTTTACATTGTGGACAGTTTAAGGAGTGCCACGCAGACGTGACAAAAGAGGACGCCACTCACGTGGATGGACGTAACAGCGGTGCTTGTTGTCGTTGCGCTGTTTGCATTTGTTGTTGCAGCTCCGGTATTGCCAGTTGCGCCATTGCCAGCTGTGGTTGTGGCATTACCGGTTGCAGCATTGCCGGCTGTGGTTGCAGCATTGCCACCTGTGGTTGCAGCGTTTCCAGTTGCAGCGTTCACAGCTGTGGTTGCGGCGTTTCCAGTTGCAGCATTGGCGGCTGTGGTTGCAGCGTTTCCGGTGGCAGCGTTCACAGCTGTAGTTGCGGCATTGCCAGTTGCAGCATTGACGGCTGTGGTTGCGGCATTGCCAGTTGCAGCATTGCCAGCTGTGGTTGCAGCGTTTCCAGTTGCAGCGTTCACAGCTGTGGTTGCAGCATTGCCAGTCGCAGCATTGACGGCTGTGGTTGCAGCGTTTCCTGTTGCAGCATTGACAGCTGTGGTTGCAGCGTTCACAGCTGTGGTTGCAGCGTTACCCGTCGCAGCATTGACGGCTGTGGTTGCAGCATTGACGGCTGTGGTTGCAGCATTTCCAGTCACAGCATTCATAGCAGTGGTTGCAGCATTGCCCGTCACAGCATTGACGGCTGTGGTTGCAGCGTTCACAGCTGTGGTTGCAGCATTACCAGTTGCAGCATTGGCGGCTGTGGTTGCAGCATTGACGGCTGTAGTTGCAGCGTTTCCAGTCACAGCGTTCATAGCAGTGGTTGCAGCATTGCCCGTCACAGCATTGACGGCTGTGGTTGCAGCGTTCACAGCTGTAGTTGCAGCGTTTCCAGTCGCAGCATTGGCGGCTGTGGTTGCAGCGTTTCCAGTTGCTGCGTTCGCAGCAGTGGTTGCAGCATTGCCCGTCACAGCATTGACGGCTGTGGTTGCAGCGTTTCCAGTTGCAGCGTTCACGGCTGTGGTTGCAGCATTGCCCGTCACAGCATTGCCAGCTGTGGTCGCAGCGTTTCCAGTTGCTGCGTTAGCAGCAGTGGTTGCGGCGTTACCAGTTGCAGCGTTGCCAGCTGTGGTTGCGGCATTGGCAGTCACAGCGTTGCCGGCTGTGCTCACAGCGTTGCCAGTTGCTGAGTTAGCAGCAGTGGTCACGGCATTACCAGTTGCAGCATTGCCGGCTGTAGTTGCAGCATTTACAGCTGTGGTTGCGGCATTGCCAGTCGCAGCATTCACAGCTGTGGTTGCAGCATTTCCTGTTGCTGCGTTTCCAGTTGCTGCGTTAGCAGCAGTGGTCGCGGCATTACCAGTCGCAGCATTGCCGGCTGTAGTTGCAGCATTTACAGCTGTGGTTGCGGCATTGCCAGTCGCAGCATTACCGGCTGTGGTCGCAGCATTGCCAGTTGCTGCATTGCCAGTCACAGCATTGTTAACTGTGGTCACAGCATTGCCGGTGGCAGCATTGGGTGTGGTTAGGGCAGCTGGGGTGGGCGTAGTACCCTGAGCATTTATGGATGCTATCGGGGCGGGGGGTCGAGAAAAAAAAAAAACAGTCATGAGTTTTGTGCGTCGTCCTCAATAGATGTGAAGAACCGGAATAAAAATGAGATGCTTACCAATGATCAGGAGTTGGAGCAGGATTGGCAAGAGCATTCTTTTTTTTTTTCCAAGAAAACAAAGCTCACAAATATCTAAAAACCAAAAAGGAAAAATGCTGTTTATTAGTTTTCGTACTGACTTATTTACGATGAGAACAAAAGTCTCTCAGTTAAACGAGGATAAGGTTGCACAATTACAAAAACAAAATTGAATTTTTTTTAACAGATTTTTTTTTTAAGTTTAATTTTACAAGAATAAAGTCAGAATATTGCAAGAAAACATGAGAAGAAAAATATCGGTGAAAAACACAATTCTATAAGTTGTAATTTGTGATAGAAAAACAAAATTAAAAACCTTTTAATTTTTAAAAAAAAGTCCAAACGTTACAAGAAAAAAATTCAAGAGGATTAGTTGTAATCCTTTGATGAATGGATGACTTCTTTTTTCAAAATAGGAAAATGTGTTTGGATTAATATTCGAAGAAATGAAAAACTATGCAGCATCAAAGTTTCAATATTACCCCCCTAAAAAGTATACGAGACTTACAAAAAATATAACAGGAAAGCAACCTAAAATTTTATGGCAGTAATGTGAGAAAAATATGTCCATCATGATAAAAATTGAAGGAGAAAAAAAAAATTCACCCCATAAAAAGATCCATAATATTACGAGAGAGAAAAAAAATAATCAAAATAATTTTCAAATATGTTTGTAATATTATGAAGGGAAGGAGCATACAAGCCGTGACATCGTGAAATAAAAATCGACATTTGACAATAAACATCAGAAGGAAAAAATTGATAAAATACAAGTGTAACATTTTAATATTACCGGAGAAATAACATCGCAATGTATTCATCTCACAAGAATACACCAATCAGATTGTAAATACACTTTTGGACCTTTTCTACCCGTTTTTCTTTTCAGGGTTTCACTACTTGCTTTGATTTTCGTTGCTTCTTTCTTATGACGATAAGCAGTTCTAATCATTATTATTATTATTATGATTATGAATAGGATATGTCTACACGTTTTGAAAAAAATGCTAAATGAACCACTTCTAATTGGTTCATCGGGTGACGTGAAACACTTGTACTTACCAATTGTCGACTTGATTGAGTTTCTGTTTCTTTGATGAGTTGAGGCCCCGTGTGTGTCTCGTTGCGTGTGACTTTTGCATCTTTATAGGCCCTGTGACGGCCACGACAAGACGTATGGTGATCATTCCTTCCACCTTGCTCACCTTTTGCGCTTTTCTTTTCAGGGTCATCGCATCACTGTGGTGTGGCCCGCTCGCAAAGTAAACAGGCGTGCACAAAGACGCCACTGTGTACCAGCACGTCGCTGACAATGCCGTCATCGGCGCTTGTCCACATAAGAAGACATTTGCGGAATGAGCGAAAAGGTGGGGACGTCTTTGTCTGCACCTGTCATCCATTATTTCACACGTCCATACATTCATGCGTTCACACCGCGTGATCCTTTTCGCACGCACGTCACCGCGTCGCTGTCCACGGGTCGGAGTGAAACTTCCTCGTTGCACCATCTACGTTGTGTTATGGTGGAATTTTGTCGCTGCTTTGAGAGCTAAAAAAAGAAATGCCAACTGGCATATGAAATTATACGTTTCTTGCGTCGGGCTCCCAGGGTTGCTGTTTGGAGGTTCTCGATTGGGTTGAGGTCAGGGGATGTTGGTGACTTTTCCTACTTTTCACCCCACTGCAGCACAACTTCTTTGAGATATTTTTTTTACATCAACTATTGTATTAAATAGTAAAACACTAAACACCAAAATGGCATTTAAGTTTAATGTATTTTCACCCCCCCCCCCCACCACCCCCAAAAATGGCCATGTTGTTCATCAGGAAAAATAGCACGCTATAATATTGTACTTTATGAACCATAGAGCAATATCATTATTAAATTGCATCTTAAGAATTACAGTCAACACTTTGTGCATCACTATTTAATGCTGCAATCCAATTCATGGTGCTGCTCCTTCTGGTGTGCCCGTTTAGTTTGACAGTAAAATTCATTCCGGAGTGTCATTGAACAGCCATGAAGCCTGTTTTTCCATGCGCTGATTAAGAGCGTTGGACCTGTCGTCATGTTACAAGATCAAATTGCTTGTTTTATCAAATGACTTGTGGATAATAAAACCAATTTAAAAAAATTAATGTAGTAAAATTGAAGCATTCACTACACCCTTGGTAATGAGCAAAGCGATGAGTGGGACACAAGGACGTGATCGATAACAAAAACGAACAAAATCAAACAAAAATGGAAAAGATGTTTTCATTAACTAAATACAATGAAAGTACTCCCCCCCCCCAACAAAAATGAACACTAACTGAAACAACATGTTACGTTCCTAAAACTTACGATAATTTAGCAATTAACATCATACATGAGCTTTTGGGGTTCATTTTACAAGTATTTATTTCGGTATTGCTGTACGGAAGAAGGTCAAACAATTGTTTCACAATTGTAGTTTATTTTGTTACACAAGGCTTTTGTGAACTTTTATTTTTATCTTACACTTGACAAGCACTCCATACATACACAACTCTGGTGGGACATTATGTCCATCCATTAAAAAAATAATAATAAAAAAAAATTTAAACACATTTTAAGAGACGTATTGTCCTGGTTTGCAAATCTTTTCATGTCAACTGATTGATTCTGATGAGAAACCAAAGGCACTGAATAGTGAAACTGACCCAACTACTATCTCCCTTCCCGTTATTGCAGAAGTGATTGACGTGTTTGCTATCAGTCAATAGGGGGAAAAAAAAAATAAAAGACGATATCATCACAATGATTCATTTGGTGACGCAAGTGTCTGTTTTGAATGCAAAACTGCTTTGTTCAAGGAACTTCCTGTATGCTTTCTTCTTGTCGTTTAAACAACCCTTGTTGAAGCTGCTTATACAAATCCCCAAAAAGCAAAACACATGCGGGTTCATTCAATGACTGCGACAAAGCTGAGGTCTGACGTGACATGACGTACGCCGGTCTGAGATTTTGTGTGACTTTAGCAGGGAAGGGAAGCTACACCAGCACAGTGTAGCCAAGTTATGTGCCAGCTGAGACCTTAAAAGAAAGTTGTTCCAGCATGTTACATCATCGTGGACTAAACTTTTTTTTTAAACGCAATATATTACATTTGCTCAGTTGTATTTAACTTCAAAGTCCAAAACGTTTTCAGACATTTAGGTAAAATCTTTAACTTTCGTGCAATACATTTTAATCGAATCGTTCGGCAGTTACATAATTCATTGCGAAACTGAAATCTCTGCATTTATGTTCCACTCTGACAAATGGAAAAGCATTCATGAATTTTCAGGGGATACTTTATTAGATAGAAAGTCCTGCAAATGGAAAAAAAAAAAAAATCACAGGCTGAAACCAAACTTGAGGGACCTGTACGGCAACAATTGCATGATCCGTGCAGAATATTTGAAACGTCTTGCTTCCCACTGCTCGGAGGAAAGCTTAGAAGCTCTTGTTATTCGTAAATCTTCTGTGAAGAGAAACAACCTGGTGACAAAGACGTCTTAAGTCAACTTTTCACTCTTGCTTTTCTTTGCTCGCTTGGCTTTGTAATTGTTGTTCTGGTTCTCGTTCTTCTTCTGGTCGTTGTTGTTGTTGGACTTTTGCAGTAGCGCAAGCGTGTCGCGCTTCTCGATCTTCCTCAATTGCTTCTTCTTCATCCTCTTGAGCTTTGCCGTGTTTCGGATCTGGGGAAAAAAAAAAGTGAGGCACTCATTATGCTGTACAACAAGGCTCATTTTAAACTCATTATATCCAACCATCAACACTTCATCACAGTGAGAGGTGTTCTTACGTACCACTTGCACAACCTCCGCTTTGCGTTCGTTCTCCTCGCGCCGCTTCAAGTTGTCTTCTCGCCGTTTCCGCTTCTCCTGTGGAGGCGGCGGAGCGCATGGGGAGTGAATAAGGTGGAGCACAAATGCTTTGTTGTTAGTGTTTTTTTTTTGTTTTTAATTGTATCCTCTTTCGTTTCGGGTTTAGAACCAAAGTCAAATAGCCATTAGCTTACTTTATTGCTGAATATTTCTCGCATCCTTTTTTTTCTTGAATTCGATGAATACGCCATATATATATTTCAAAAAAAACTAAAACAAATACTATGATTAATACAAAGCATTTCAACATAACGACTCCAAAAACTAATTAAAGCTAACAATTTTTTAAAAATAGTTTAAAAACTACATTTAAAAAGCAACGAATGAAAAATCCAAAACTATTATAACCCTGACACACACACTAAAATCGGTAGCAGGTTAGTCCACAAAACAACAGGCCTTTGTCAGCTTCTAAAAATCCTCAAATAAATTAATAGTATCCAGTGGGAGGGGTTTATTTGCGATAACTTGAGTGAGTTCTATGAATGTATTTACTCAACTGCTATCCAGTGAGTACCAGGTGCTTATTGACGTTCTCAAAGTGTGGTATGCGGTTTCCCTCCAGTTGTACGCCAAAGACTCACTCTCGAAGTGTGCTTTGGTTGTATTTAACTCAGTATATTTGTGTTTAATCTTTAAAAACAGGTGTTTCAAACTCAACTTATGTCAGGGTTTCTCGAGGTAGAATCAGGGTGATGTCTGGGCCGCATCAAGTATTCCACAAAAAGGGGGTTCAAGTATTCAAATATAGTATTGTACAACTAATCCAATCTTCTCCATCTTTATTATCAGTTGAGAACGTAAACGGTTCTTTAGAATGTGAAGATGTGTTCGCTGGTCCTCTCTATCATTTCCGTGGTAATTTGCATGCGTCAAACACTCATATTAAAAACAATACACTATAACAACAACGTTAATACTGCAATGTCACCTCTGCTTGTTGCGGTCCTTCCACACTCGTCCTGATTTTGGCTTCCCCAGAGGAATAGCAACAGTCGCTTTGACACTATTTCTCAGACGGCGCTTCTTCTTGGGAGGATGAGACTCCGTCTCTGGGATCGCTGGTGGTCTTTCTACAGGGGCAGGCTTGGACACTTGACCGGCTTTGTCCACCTCTACTGCGGGGTCTGAGCGAGGCCCCTCCGGCTCCGGTGCGACACATATGGCGGGCTTATCCGCAACAGTCCCCGGTTTAACACACACTGCAGGCTTCTCCTCCACCGTCTCCTGGCCGACACTCACTGCGGGATTCTCTTCGACCGGCTTCGGCGCTTGTTGCTCCGGTTCACTCTGCTCGACACTCACTCCGGACTTCTCCTTCACCGTCTCCTGGCCGACACTCACTGCGGAATTGTCTTCCACCGGCTCCGGCGCTTGTTGCTCCGGTTCACTTTGCTCCGGTATGATGGACCTTCTGCTCCGCCTGACAGGAGTCCTCGCCGGGACCTCACAGTTCTGGAGTCCGGATGGGCGACGCACCATGCGGCCGCTGCGTGTCCGCGTGGTCATGCGGAGTGGGTCCTGGTTGTCGTCCGCTACTTGTCCCGCTGTAGAAGCGCCGTTCACTTTGTTTTTCGACATGTTTCTCTACGCCACTTTCGCCCCTACCTTCCCACGTGTGAGCCCTGAGCTGACTCGGTCGTGGTGACGTACTTCCGTATTGTTGTAAACAACGTGTCATTTCATTACCGCCACCCTTTGGTCGGAGGGTGAACTGCATAGAAACGCCGAGCGCTGCAAACTAATATAGCCTCTTCATAAAATTAATAATTAATGACACAAAAGTACTTATGGAGAAACATCCGCAGGTAGCAACGTGTAATAGCTTTTCGCTATCTTCAAAACAAATCTTATTACGAAAACAGCTCGTTTTTCTTTGTCGCTTTCAAAGGCTGCCCCATTTTCAGTCGTCATTGCAACGCTGCCGTCCTATGTTCAAAAAGCGTCATTACAGCATCTTAAAGATGGCATCACATGATTCGAACTTCCGCACCACAAGATGCCGCATTATAACTCATTTTAGCTTGAACATAAAAGTAAAACCCTTTTAAGACTCGTAACAAAGAAAAAAAACACGTACGTTTTTATGTAGTTTAACAAGAACCCGGAAAGGTTTTGGGCGAGGTTTAGTCATGTCGCTGCTGGGTCTCGGAAGCTTCTTGCTGCTGCTCCTCGGGCTGACGGTAAAAGAACCTCATGATTTTTCGATAGTGTTATCGCGTCAGAAATATTAGCACACATGTCACTTTAACTGAAAAGAACTTTGCTAAAAGTTTACACGACGACCACCCTTTCCAAGCCACAGTAACTATCTGTTTGAAAACCTGACCCCAAAATAATTTAAATGAATCAAATGATTTTTCAGCTCTCACACAATAAAAATCCAGGTCTCATGCCACACTTTTTTCAAACAATTTGTATATAATTCTATTTATATATATGACCTCGGATGATGGATCGACGGTCAAATCAGTCATCGGATCAGATTTGTATGATACAAAAGTAAGTTAGGTTTGAAATGCTCAGGTTGTCCCTTTTAAGCAATCCAAGTTGGTCAAAACCAGAACGGATGGATTTTTCATTCGTATTCAATATGAAAATATCAATGTACATTTGCTCCAATTTACCTCGTTCATTTTTTTGTGTGTGTACTGTCTTTGTGAGCTAAAAATAGCATTACGAGCGCATGGTGCCAGCGAATTTAACAACTAGTTGGCGTATGGTGGGAAAAAAAATTCCCCAAGTGTTTGGTTCAAACTGTTTTTGCTACTCTGTTTTGAAATTACTGTTAAACTTAAACCAAGTCATAATTCACTGACTCATATTGAGTGCCCGACTCAGCTGACGCATCCTTAACATCAGCTGATATGCCATAAAAAAAAATAAAAAAATGAACATGTAAGCAGTGAGCACGTGTGTGGCAATAAAACTTGAATAAAAGGAGTTTGCTTGTGTGTTCACAGGGGGCCGCACCTCCATCCTTCAGCGTGGATTACCAGAACGACTGCTTCCGCAAAGATGGAGAGAAGTTCCGCTACATCTCAGGCAGCATCCACTACAGCAGGATCCCCAGGGCCTACTGGAAAGACCGGCTACTCAAGATGTACATGGCGGGCCTGAATGCCATCCAGACGTATGTGACTGTTTCAATGTCCCATGTGCCAATGTTGCCGGAATATATAAATATGAATACCGTAAAAAAAAAAAAAAAAAAGACACGATGTTTTGATATGGTATTCATGTGCCTTTCAAGATCCGCGCTGTGATATATTTGCAATGTTTTAGCTGCAATTTTTTCCATTCCAGGTATATTCCATGGAACTTCCATGAGGACTCTCCAGGCAGCTATGACTTCAGCGGAGACAGAGATTTGGAATATTTCCTTCAGCTGGCTCAGGATATCGGCCTATTGGTCATCCTTCGACCAGGGCCTTATATTTGTGCAGAGTGGGACATGGTAAGAAAAACTATATTCATCCATCCATCCATTTTCTATCGCGCTCCTCCTAATTATAGTGGTGGTTAAGATGAAACTTAACCCAGCTGACTTTGTGGGATTGATGGGGTACACCCTGGAATGCTTACTAGCCATTTGCAGAGCTCATACAGACAGACAAGTATTCAGTAGCTGAATTATTAAATACAAAACATACCACCTTCACATGAAGATATCAATAATATTTACTAGAATATTAGCCTCAATAACAGGCTCGCACAAGCATGACATCACACACGTGCCTTAGCGCTTTACACAAACTGCATTAAATCTTGAAACTCAACTTTTGGCATTTTACACAATTATAAATGTTCGGGTATACCGGCAAACGCCCACAGCAAAGTCGACTACATGGGCCGTTAGTTGCTGCATCAAGTGAAAAGCAGAAACATTTGCGTCACTTACGACTGTGCAAGGATTGCCGGCAAAACAGGACATCTCAAACTGTGGATGGAAAACGATCAGTGAACTAAACCGAACAACAACACAGAGATTCTACCGGATGGTGCCAAAGTAACACTTTAATTGGGTTGGACTGAAAAAAAAACCCCTAAAGAAAACAATCGTTTTTCAGCAAATAATGGGTGATAAGTTTTAAGAAAAAAAATGTGCAAATGCCAAACCCTGAATTTCACTCTCATAATAAAGCTCACATTCTTAAATGTTTACCTTGCTGACAGGAACAAATTGAGACATATTCCTTGTAACGTTGGTGTCAAACCCATTGACCTATTTGAGTACCTGATGCTTGTGGCCAGTGTCTAAAACAGGGGTGTCAAACTCATTTTTGTCGCGGGCCACATTGTAGTTACGGTTTGACTTGGAGGGCCGTTATGAATTTTGGGAAACCATATAAATGTTTAATCACCTCCACATATTACATACACAGCGCACTACAAATTGATGAATAACTAGTTTCTAAAATGAGAAGTCAAGAATAATGACTGTTAATTGTGGATTACATATGACAATTTGAAATTTTGGTTCAGACTTTAACAAGCATCATGGAACTTGACATGCATGATTTGCTTTCGCGGGCCACATAAAATGATGTGGCGGGCCAGATCTGGCCCCCGGGCCTTGACTTTGACACCTTGGTCTAAAACAACAACATATATAAAAGAATACTATATCTGTCCACCAGGGAGGACTGCCTGCCTGGCTTCTGCACAAGCAAGACATAGTGCTGCGCTCTTCAGATCCAGGTGAAAATCCTCAAGTAGCAGTTGTTTATGTAAACCCTGTAAACACAATATAATTTTTTTTTTTTCAGATTACATAGCAGCGGTGGATAGCTGGATGGGCAAGCTGCTGCCGATGATGAAACCTTTCCTCTATCAGAATGGCGGCCCGATCATCAGCGTGCAGGTCGTTTGCTGACTTGTTGTCATCTCTTTCTGTGAAAACTGGAGTGATCAATAAGGATTGGCATTATAATCAAATACTGAATTGGTAAAAATGTCCTGGAATCTAATCTATGCAGTTGACTCTGAGTGCACTTACTGCAACCGGTGAAGGTGCTGAGTCAGCAAGACATAATGCTTCTGCGCAGCGTTACTTTTTTTGCACCGTGATGACGGGGCACTCTAAAGTACACACAATATCACAAAGCCCCGAAAGCTGACGTCAAACTAAACTCATGTCGCCTGATTTTGAGCCGACAGACGTGTCGCAGACAAATGCCGTGTCCCGTAGCCGATTTTGAGTCATCTTGTCGCGCCATAGCCCGTTTAGTGTGACATATTCACTGATTGCTCGTGAAGCGACCACGACAACTAATGGCTCGCTTGTCAGAATTTTTTTTCGTCTTGCTGCATAGTGTCAAGTTCTTGTGTGGTGGCAGAGGAGGCGATTCAGGCCAGATTCCAAGTGTGTCAAGCAGAACGATTTTAACCACCCCCCCCCCCCAAAAAAAATAATAATCAGGAAAAGCGAAATGTTGAAAAACTTTTTTTTCACTTAATTCCACAGTTGGGGACTACATAGTAATCACAGGGTCTTTAACATCTGGCTATTCAGGTGGAGAATGAATACGGCAGCTACTTCGCATGCGACTACAACTACATGCGTCACCTCTACAAGCTGATGCGGTTTTACCTGGGCGAGGAGGTGGTGCTGTTCACCACCGATGGCGCCTCGCTGGGCTTCCTCAAGTGCGGCGCCATCCAAGGTGTCTATGCCACCGTTGACTTCGGCCCAGGTTGGTCAGCAGCCAGGTAACGACAGGTCTGAGGAGTGATTTGATGGTGTGATTATTTCTTTATTTCAGGTTCCAATGTGTCCGCAGCGTTTGCAACACAGCGACATGCAGAACCTTATGGACCTTTGGCAAGCATCGACCTTGTTCATCTTAGTCATAGAGTGGTACCTTAACTTGACGAGTTGTTCGGTGACCAAGTTCGTGTGTTGGTCTACTCTACACGAATACCTTAAATTTAGCTAAAGGCTAACTTATAAGAACCAAACATTGATGGGTAATAAATCTGGTCTTGTTTATTGTAATCCAAATTAATGTATCGCTTGTGTTTGTTAAAAAATACATGGGAAGAGGACCTTGGGGAAAAGAAAACAATTGTAGTATTTAGGGACAAAATACCACAATTAGATTATTTTTCAAATGTAGTATCTATTATATTAGCCGCTGATGGCCAAGATACGCACACCAGAAGGAGCAGCACAATGCCTATTGAATTAAAGCACGAACACTATGAGCTCTAACCGTTGAGTTCTTTACTCTCCTCTCCATTTAAGTTATTACTGTATGTTTCAAACAGTTCAATATTGTAGCTTGCTATTTTTCTGATCCAATAAAACTTTAATTGTTTTCGGGGTGCTGGAACGGATTAATAGCATTCTGTTCATTTAAATATGGAAGGATGTTTTATTTGATTTATCAACACGGAAGGAGTTAAACGTCTACGCCAGGGTACCACTGTAATTGAAGCTTCCACTTTTTTTCTTTTCTTTTTTTTTAAAGTTTTAATTTAAAGAGACTCACACTCTTTCTTTCCTTCCGTTCCCTTATCTGCACCTGCAGGTGAACTCTGAGTACTACACGGGCTGGCTGGACCACTGGGGCTCGCCTCACTCCGCCGTCTCAACCAAAGATGTCGTCGTCACCCTCAATGAGATTCTGGCAATGGGTGCAAATGTCAACCTGTGAGTCCTCTTTTTTTTCAAGGGTGAGGAAATGAATCTGTGTGAGTCCACATGTAGACCCAATTCAACATTAGACCCGTATTTTGATCGACTGACACCCATGCCCTCAACCTCCCACCCACTCGAAAATTCTCCAGCGACGGAAATGCATTCGGCGCACATTGACCGGATGATCAATAATACATTGTGTATGTTGAATGCAATTTGAGAAAACAAGTGCTTTATTAGAAAGTCAAAACTTTATCAAAATGAAGTAATTCGATGGCAATCACTTCGTGGTGTACCCTGTCTACTGTCCGAAGTCAGCTGGGGTGGGCTCCAGCACGACCGTGACCCTGATGAGGATATGAGGCTCGGATAATGCATGGATGGAGATTGTAAGATTACGTCTGGAGTCTTTGTAGCCTTGAAAATCATTTTTTGTCTCCTGACAGGTACATGTTTATTGGCGGGACCAACTTTGGGTACTGGAATGGTCAGTATAAATATATATATAATAACGTAGCTTTTACGGCGTCTGATCACGTTTGACCCCCCGCCCCCAAGGTGCCAATTCACCTTACGCCGCACAGCCGACCAGTTACGACTACAACGCTCCGCTCACTGAGGCCGGAGACTTGACTGAGAAGTACTTTGCAATCCGGGAGGTGATCAAAATGGTGTGTGCACATGAATTTCCTTGCGTTCTTCTTTATGTGACATGAAAAGCAACTCACATATTTTCTCTTTAACAGTACCGCAAAATACCCGAAGGGCTCATCCCGCCATCAAGTCCAAAGTTTGCATATGGTTCTGTTAAAATGCAGCAGGTAGCCACACTATGCCACAATCTTCTGCTGACACAGTTAAACCCCAAAAGTTAGTTAACACTTTTTAAAAAAGTTGCTCCAACCGGTTTAATACCACTACCACTTGAAGTTTACTGTCAAACTGAGCGTAAAACAGCGACAATTACCACGTCAAAACCACCAAACTGCATTACCATCCGTACAAGCCTGTTAGCTTAATGCTAAAATAACATGGAAAATTTCATTGACATTCTAATAGTTAGGATCCAAAGTCGCGGTTTTAGAACCCTTTAAGCAACGGATATTTGAAGACAAACACATGTAGACAATATAAAGATACTCACAGGCATATATTCTTTATACTCTTTATAAACTCAATATCATAACATGACAGCATTTTATTGCCAAGTGTATAAGATAACATTCCAATTCATTGCGGGCTAGCGAGTGAACTGGAGGCCGGGTCGTCTGGAATGACAGACCGAATTAAACTTTACTACTGTTTTTGAATTGTTGAAAACCTTTCTTCACGTGAACTAAAATGAACGCTGGCTCTATAATGACAGCTCCAGACGGTGTCAGAAGCCTTAGAGACAATCTCCTTCTCTGGACCAGTGGAAAGCTTGTTCCCTCAGACGTTCATTGACCTCAACCAGGTATCTTCTCATGTTTTCATCTGACTGTCGACATTAATATTAAAGTTGAAAATTTTATTTCTGGCTTCTTTTTCTCGTCACTTATCAAAAAAAGCAAATGATAATGACATCAGTAATTAGCACTTCTGGACTTTGCCCTACTTACCGTATTTTACGGATTATAAGATCCTACTTTTTCCCACATTTTGGACCATATGCATTTTAATGTGACACGGTTTAGTCATGAATTTTTATTGATGAGCTTCAAGCCGTTACTAGATTCACTCAAAGTGTCATCACATCCGACCACACTGAAATCACCGAAAACATCACAGTGGACCAATGAAACTGTCATGAGTCCATCCTCATAACACACTGACGCAACGGAAATCCTCAGCAAGCTCTGTCGAGGCCTGGAACAATCATGGAACAATTGAATCAGGTGTGTTGGATTCGGGAGGGATCTGAAACCGTCAGGATATCGCTCTCGAGGAACCAGAGTTCCTTGCCCCTGCGTTTAGTGTGTTTGCCAGATGTTAGCTCATGTCTCGACTGGCCGTTGAAATACTTTATGTGAGGGATCACCAACTCCGGTCCGTCGAAGGACCATATCCTGCACGTTTTAGATGTTTGGAAATTATCAGGATCGTTATAAGGCTTCTACAGAGTTTGCTGATGGGATGGGTGAGTGGATGGATATTTGTGTCTTTGTTTTAAATGTCCGCTTTGTCCTGTCCTGTAGGCGTTTGGCTATGTGTTCTACAGGACTAAGCTGCCGGTGAACTGCAGCACGCCCACGCCACTGGCGTCGCCGCTGAACGGGGTCCATGATCGAGCATATGTGTCTGTGGACGGGGTAGGGCAGGAATTGATTGTTTCTCTTAAAGTGAATCTGAATACCGAACCTTGCTGCAGATTTTGAAAATCTGTGAGTAATTGATGCTGCCCCTAAAAGGCCCTTGTAATTGCATATAAAGACCACAAGATGGCGGCAAAGCACTTAAAATAGAGAGGATTGCAAAGCATTAGCGTCATATAAACCCATGTACAGGAATTAAATTATTCAACACAAGTATATGTACCTCGCTAAGTACGACAAACATGACCAAAATTAAAATCCTGTAGCATGAGTTCAAGTGTTCCATCAAAACTGAAACAGTTTTTTTAATCACTAAAAGGTATATTTACTCTTGTAACCACATAGCTTAGCCGTTCCTTCCAGAAGCTGAATGCTATTTCCCATTAGCATCTATATTCACGTATTTAAGCCCTTTAAGCAATGGGTTGAGATTTCTATGAAGCAGAACAAATGCCCACGTATACATGCTGGCTTTATTTCAAGGTGGCTTCGGGGATTCTGGAGAGAGGCAAAGTCCTAAGCATTAATGTGACCGGCAAAGCTGGCAGTCAAGTGGACATCTTAGTGGAGAACATGGGCCGGATCAACTATGGAAAAGGCATCAATGACTTCAAGGTTTGGAATTGTTCATAAAAATGCCCTTTTTTTTTTTTTTTTTTACATTTTTCTTAGCCGTCCTCGAAACAAACCACAAAATATGTTGTGATGTGTATTTCATGAGGGAAAAAAGGACAGTCATGTTTTACTTTTGAAGTCGGCAGTAATGAAATATACAATGCAATACATCTTTCTTTAAACAGCGCTTTTACAACAACTGCAGCTGGAACAAAGCGCTTTTTCATTATAATTCATTTTTATTTCCATTTGACTGTTAATTTATTCCATTCAGTTTTAATTAGATTTTGGAGCGAGTTTGATCGTTTTTTTATTTATTTATTTTTTTAATGCTTTGTTTTATATTATTATTCTTTTAATATTTGGCGTTTTTGTTGAGTGAAAGTTTAAAAAAAGGTCACAGGAAGCACTGTGTAATAAAGTAAACTACAAATTAATGATCCACCTTCTTTGCCGCAGTAATACTAAAATACATTTCAAAATACACCCCGTTAGCTCATGTACGAAATTAAATGACAACAATGAAAAGGAAGGACATTCTTGCGATACTTATAGTTAGTCTGTTAGTTTTATAAATGTAAAATGTAGTTTCAGTTGGCTTTTGTTTTTTTTAAATACGCTATCATTTTATTTAACTTTTTTTTTCAGTTTTAGATTTAGTTACTTTGTTTGTTTTCATGAACTATAATAACCTTGGTGAACAACTGTGTCAATGAACTGAATTTGCTCGAACCACTGCATTGCGTTTTTTTTTGTTTTTTTTGATAGGACAAAGCAGGCATCTACTTCTATTTGAGCGAATGTGATCATTCATAAGTAGGAAATGGCACACACTTGACTTGGTTCCTTGCGTGTTCTCTCTTTGCGCAGGGCCTTGTGAGTAACCTGACGTTAGACAATGTCGCGCTCACAGGGTGGACCATGTACAGCCTCGGTATCGACCAAGCGGTTAACCAGGGCCTCCTCTGGGAAATGAAGCCCACGTCGTCTGGCCCTCTTCCTCCAAGTGTTCTGTCACTACCCGCCTTCTACGGCGGAACTTTCATCATTCCCGACGGCATACCCGATCTACCTCAGGACACCTACATCAGCATGCCCAAATGGCACAAGGCACGCTTACTTGCATGACTTCAGTTGTCATCTATAATCACAGATTCTGAAAGTGTGGTACGTGGGCTCCTAACTTTCAATCTCACTCAATGAGTATTCTCTTTTGCTCCTCAGGGACAAGTTTGGATCAACGGTTTCAATTTGGGACGCTACTGGCCGACTCGAGGCCCCCAGTTGACTCTTTACGTCCCGGCCAGCATCCTCACCACTGACGCCCCCAACAACGTGACAGTCCTGGAGCTGGAGGCGGCCCCGTGCCTCTCGGGACCATGCACGGTGGAATTCACCACCACGCCCATCGTGAACGCAACTGTGCACAGCGAGCACAGGCATGTTTAAAGGGGATTTGATTTAAGGAAAAGTGAAGTTTCTCTTGCACAATGTGCATCATGTCTTGCTTCTTGAAAAGCATCACTTGATTTGTGACTGAATGTAGACTGTTAAAAGAGTCAGTGTCTTAAATACTTGATCACATCATGACATTTAAAATTTTTATCGGTATGTTGCCAAAATGATAGCATTAATGCCCAAAAACACATCAGGGAAATACACTTTTACATGTCAGAGTACAATGGCTGATGTTTTGTTCATTTAATTTTTTTTAAATCTGTGCCAGACCTGTTTTTAAATGTACTGACTTTTAATAAAAATGAAGGATTATACTGCACAAAGTTTTTAATCTTTTGTTTGGATTACCTAATGGGCGGCACAGTGGTCGTCTGGTTAGCACATCCAACTCACACTGTAGCGGTCCTGCGTTTGGGCTCCAACCTTCCTGTGTGGAGTTTGCATGTTCTCCCCATGCCTGCATGGGTTTTCTCCATGTCCTCCGGTCTCCTCTCACATTCCAAAAACATGCATGGCAGGTCAATTGAACAGTCTAAAAGTATGAGGGAAATGTGGTTAGGACTGCACGACTGTCCGTGTTTTATGTTATGTGTTGTGTTTTATTATTTTACTTCATGTCAACTGTTTTGTTAAGCGCTTTGTTACAGATCCTGCTGTTGTGAAAGCGCTATAAAAATCATGATCTATTATAAATTGTCCCTTGGCGTGAGTGTCGTCTATGTGTGCTCTGTGATTGGCTGGCCACCACTTCAGGGTGTACCCTGCCTACTGCCCGAAGACAGCTGGAATAGGCTCCAGCACATCTATTAATTAATCTATGTAATACTGTATATGACTTATTTTTTTTAATTGAGCTGCTAAATTAACGGAACCTTCGAACCTTACTGTAAATGTATTGAGCTGCATCTGTAGATGGGCCATCTGTGATGTAAGCTCATTTACTCCGCTAGTTGGCAGTGTTAGCTTTAACACCTGTTGCCAGCGGTGTCGGTACAGGAGAAGAAGAAGGAAACAGCGTAGATTCTACGCCGTAGAAGAAGAAAGGTTGGGCTACCCCGCTGGTTTCCTGAACGGGAGAAACCGCCCTTTGGCTAAAAAAAATGAGGTAATTACGAATCACATTATTTTATTGTATTTTTTTTTTACGTCAGCAAATATAAAGTTTAAGCGGATACAGCGCTGATTGCTGTCTCATCATGAACCAAATCTTTAGTAGGCATCTGTGACAAGCGGTGGATAAGATAACTGAAAAGCAAGTTGCTAACCAGCAACTGGTTTTCTTTCGATAGCCAGTTTTTAAATTCAAATATAGGGACGCTCGTTGTCCTCGTAAGACCATTCAGCGCACGAACACATGTAGTCGGACAACTCCACGTACGAGTGAGGCAATACTGCAGTAGTTAACGGTACCAGTACGAGCAGTGAAGCTCGACACGAATCAACCAGTAATCGGTTGTAATGCCACTAGTACCTGTGCCAAGTACGACGCATTTGTCACCTGGTGCACAGTTTTGCCTGACTGTAAACAGAAAGTTGGCCTACTTTTATGTGTACATTTTTAAAAGATCAATTTATTGCGGCCGTATCAGACAAAAAGATGATTCCAGCGTTGCTTTAAATATAATTTCCTGTGAATATTAAGAAAGGCATGACTGTGAAGTTTAAACCGGTAAAACCGCCGTTTTTGGCCAACCTTTTGTCATAAGTTTATCGGGGTCAAGTTTTCGTTTTTGTTCAATCCAAGTTTGGAATTTTTATTACCTTCTTCGTCTTGGTTTTATTTATAAAAGGTTGGTATCAGTGGAAAGCTTGCTAAACACACACACAAAATAAAATATGTCATGATGATGTTTATGACTCAAATATTTGTCTATGAGTGCCCTGCAATTGGTTAGCAACCAGTTCAGGGTGGACCTTGCGTAGTACTGCCTGATGAGAGATGATCAAAATATTTTGTTCTTCTCAGGGGCGAGCACTAAGAGCGCATGCATACACAATAGAATTTGTTATTATTATTTATAATGTGTATATGCTTTTTTTTTTTCCTCTCTTCAAACTTTACTAGTGTTTTCCACCAGGGAGCAGTTGAACCAATGAGCTGATACCATGGTGGATAACCGCTATGCCACAGCCCTGGTCATCGGCTCCGTGCTGAGCCTGCTGGCCACCGTGTACCTCTCTGTGGCCGTGGGAACCCAGCACTGGTACCAGTACAGCATCCCGCCGGGTGCACATGATAGAAGCAACACCTCATTGTCGAGTGACGACTCTGTCGACGGCGACTTCGATGAGAAGGCAGCCGGCGAGACCTCTTATCACCTCAATGGCACCATGGGACTGTGGTGGTGGTGCATCCTGGTGCCCAGCCAGTCCCACTGGTTCAAGGAACCAGGTAGCACTCATTAGAAACCTGTGTTTTATTTATACTTGGTTGCTGTATTAGGGTAAGACGTTCGAGAACTACTGTCCTAGAGCATCCTAGAATGCCACCCAGGGAATCTCATCCAGAGCTGGACATGGCCTTCACCTGTCAGCCAGCCAATGTCTGATGACGATTGTACGTATGAACTGATTATTTTATTTATTTTTTTTACATTTCCTTTAGATCCCAAGTTTATGAGGCACTGCGAGCGCTTCACTCTTCCTCGGCATTTCTTGCCAAGGCACGACCACCCTGAAAACCACAACAGTGAAGAGGACCTGCTAAGGACATGTAAGCCTGACGCAAATGCCCTCGACTGGGATTGTGTTTTATATTCAATATTTTGTGGCCCTGTTTCTGGCCTTGAATGCTAACTACTAATGCAATTCATTGAGAAGGAATGTCTTAACCTCCTTGGTTGTCTTTCGTGGTCTTTTTTTTTTCCCAAGAGTAAAATAGAATAAATGGGTTACAACAGGGCTCCACACAGACATGGCTCCTCACCAGTGTGGTCCCCGCCCATTTCAGTTTCCCAGAACACAATTTATGCAGATGTTCATGTTGGCTACGGGCGCGTTTGCTTTGAACTTGCGAGCAAGAATTTGATACACCAATTATATGGTGGCTAACTAAAGGGGAACCCAAGTAAAATCTTTCATTGCAATATGTTCTATATGCCCCCACTTGTACAAACACAGCTTTCCAATTCATATTATCTTTGAAGCATATCAATTTTAACAAGCTTATTCAACCCACTCCGATATCAACTGCAAATGATGCCAACTTGCCTTCAGGCTCGCATGACAAATGTCATAGCTCACCTGATGTCGAGGATTGTGATGCTTGCAATGCAAGCCTCGAGGGCAGGTTGTTGTCATTTTCAATTTGCAGAATTGTTCTTGAAAAAATGGCTGTAAAAAAACTACTATTACTTAGGAAAGGCTTGTAGCATTATCTTAACAATAATGCCAGTCGTTATAGACAAACAAACGGAAATTAGCATTGATGAAATTGAATTTTCAACCTTCAAGCAAGTGCTATTTTAACTCAGCCATGCAGCAATGCGTACAAACAATTCTCTGCTTTGTGGGAACAAGGACTATCACTGGATCTTGGTCGTTGATGAACCTCTCTGACTCTTTATTGTTAATCATGCCGTATCTTTACCAGTCGACTTCAGGGCCACCTGAAATTTTGCAGCCTAAAGTGGTACTACATTGAAGGCACACAACTGAAAATTCTGATTTGCTTGAGGAGAGCTATATGCTCGTGTAAAAAAATAAATAAATGAAAATAATGGCTTGAAAATCTACAGTAGAGTAGGGGTTCGCTGAAGTCATCCACTAAATAAATAATGCGTTTTCCATTCCGGAGTCCTAATGGTTTAAATGTTGCTGCAGACTTGTGGAGGTGCCAGTTTCTCCTGCCCTTGGTGTCTCTGGCATTGGTGTTCCTCAGCGGCCTCGTGGGCGTCTGCGCTTGCCTGTGCCGCAGCTTCACGCCCACCCTGGCCGTGGGAGTGCTGCATCTTCTCGCGGGTAAGCACGCCAACCGCCTGCGTACGAGGGGAAGTCACTGAAAGTCGGGCAATTTCATCACGTTTATTGATTGGTTCATTTAAATGTCATCCCCGCTGACATGGACCGCTTACACTAATAACATGGCTGCGAATAGAGAGGTTGATTTCAGAAGTGTGTATCAAACGGGGAGCAGATGTCAACTAATGGGGGGAAACCTAAATATAAAGGCAGTCATTCTACCAGTGCCCAGAATCTTACCAATTAGGGCACAGGTGTCAAAGTCAAGGGCCGTGGGTCATATGCGACCCGCCAGGTTGTATTATGTGGCCCGCGAAAGCAAATCATGCGTGTCAACTTCAATGATCCTTGCTAAAATCTGTACCAATTGTCATGTGCAACAACATTGATACTTTGCAAGAAATTTGATACCCTGTTCACACTCACTTGAACAAGGATTGAACAAACAACAAATTGCGCAAACTAGGAACCACCCATTTGTTGTGTCCAAGTAATGATACAATTTGATGAAATATACGAGATGAAACATTTATGAAACGGCCCTCCGAGAGAAGACGCAACTTCAAAGTGGCCCGTGACAAAAACGAGTTTGACACCCCTGAATTAGGACAATCAAAGTATGAGTGCCCGCACCTTAAGATGGATCTGAAGGAGATCAAATACCAACTGAAATGGCTTCCCATATGGAACTACACAGCACAGCTCCATAAAAGGAAGAGCAAAGCACAACAATGACCTTTCTTGTGTGTGAGGGGCCCAACAATGCAAATATATCACAACCCCCCACTCTCCTCACCCCGCTGAGAAGATGTCCACAATTGGGCAGTCAATGCGGCGGCGTCCCCATCGCTGACATCCCTCCTCTTCCTCGTCAGCTCTGTGCTGTCTGGGCAGCGTGTGCTGCTTCCTGGTCGGCGTGGATCTCCTCCACCAGTACGCCAGACCGCCCGAGTCATCGCTGGGCTGGTCCTTCTACCTCGCCCTCATCTCCTTCCCGCTGCAGATGATGGCGTCCGCCTTGTTCCTCTGGGCGGCACGCAGCCACCGCAAGAACTACTCGCGCATGGTCGCGTACAGGGTGGCCTAAAAATGGCGACTGAGAACAATCAAAATCTCAAAGCAGAGAAGAGGATGTTTGTAGCCAGTCATCATAAGTATTGACAATAGCCATGAAACAACATCCATTTGTGGTATCGCATCTGTGTGGCCTTTCCTCCAAAAGTGCATGCTCAATTATTTATGACTTGTGGTTTTGCTGTGGAGATTGGCTTCTTTTTAATTGCCATTTCACTGCTGCTCGTCACCTTGCCATTAACTTTTTTTTTTTTAAACATCGTCAGTTGCACAATGCTTCAAGAAATCTCAGCCGTTTGTTTCAAAGTTTGTCCCACTCCAGCTTGCGTGTGTCGTGTTGACCAAATGTCACTCACTTGAATTGGAACCACTTGTGCTGCGCTTGATGTTTGTGCCAGTTAATCTCAATCGTTTCAAGTGATTTGCGTCTTGGTGATCATTCACTTTTGATAAAACCACTCTTAATGTCGACCATTCCCAAATGTAGTTAGTTCTGTGGAATTCTTCTTCAAAGAGGCTCAAATTTTGTACATGGGGGGGAAAAATGGTGATGTAGGTGTCCTTTTTTGGGGTCCAAAATAAATGTTGACTATGCAGTTAAATATCTATCCATCCAGCCATTTTGTAATTCATTTATCCTCACGCGGGGGGTGCTGGAGCCTATCCCAGCTGTCTTCGGGCAGGAGGCAGGGGGACACCCTGAACCTGTTGCACACACACGAACAACCATCCACACTCATACTCACACCTAGGGACAATTTAGAGCGTTCTGTGAACCTGCCATGCATGTTTTTGGAATGTGGGAGGAAGCCGGAGTACCCGGAGAAAACATGCAAACTCCACACAGGAACGCCGGAGCCGGAATCGAACCATGCACCTCTGCAATGTGAGGTCGACATGCTAACCAGTCGAACATTGTGCCACCCAGTTAAATATGTCCGTCTTTTATTAAATTATATCCAAGCACACCAGTTGTCTTGAAATATAGTGGACGTCTGACAGAAAAAAAAAAAATCGGTCAGAGAAATCATTCACATAACTTTTTACATTTCAATCAGTTTGAAATTGTTTTAGTAAAAAAGAAAGTCAGTTTGCCTTCAGTTTAAAAAAAAATCAGTTTTCACTGGAATTAAAACAGCATCTAGCACCTTAGTACACGGCGTGTTGGTTCAAGTTTCAGGCATTAAAAGGCTCATTGGTGAGTGGAAAAATCATTAAGCAATCACTCACGACAGCTTAACAATCATAAAGCAGAAAACGAGCAGCCTTTTGGTGTATTTAATTGCAGTTTAAAAAAAAAAAAAGAATGAAACTGGCACCTTTATGAAAAAGACACGTCAGAAATGACATTCTACAACCTTCTGCTGTCGGCTAAAATTGGTGTCAAAGTGCCTTCGGGCTCGCATTGTGAATATCACGTGACCAAACCGAGAGAGCAGTTGAGCATGCGATTCGAGCCCAAGGGCACGCTGACATCAATTTCAGCTGACAGCAGCCAATGTCAACGTTGCTGTGGATAAAAACGGGTGGATTCATCTGCTTGATTCTTATTCATCCTACTCACTATTAATCAAAATGCTGTGTTTCGATGACCGGCGGCAGAATATTATTGCAAAGCAACATTTTGAACTTGGGCTTGGACTGAAAGGGATTCGCCCCATCCCCCGCCGCCAGTCGTTCATGTTAAACCTGTTCAATATTTGCGGTCGCAAGTGTACTCTATTTGACGAGAAGCCAAACAATAGTTCATGAGAACACGACCTGCAGCTCGCACTCTTGCCATGCACAAATATAGGCGCAATTGGTTGTGATCACCGGGTTGTAGACATTTCAGTGTCGCCCAAGTCGTTCACACAACGCAATAAACGAGAAGAGCTTGTAACTGCGATATAGTTGCTAGATCAGCTAAGCAGTTGGCCCAGTTTCTTCTGTTTCTCCGGGGGAAGCGTAATTACAAATTCTTCAATCACGCCTGATCAATGAAAATGTTGTCTTCCTTTTCGATTTGAAATCGCCCGCTCCGATGGGTTCTCAGTCCTTCGTCACGCTGATGGACGGGAGGCTGATACTGATCTTGCGAGCTAACTGGAAGGCAATCTTCTTCTCGTAGTAGGCACATTCGTTCACAAAGAAAGGGTAGGCCTCCTCTCCCTCGTACTTGACCGTCTCCCCGTTAAACGACTGGAAAATGGGATCCCCGGGACGGAGAAGCTTGAAGTCGTTGTCCTGCGCGGCGAGCGGGAGAGAGAGGACAAAACTTGGAAAACGAGCACTCTTGAGAGGGCAGACCTCCCGAATAGAAGGCCGTCGTCTGGGAATCGGAATTGCAAAACGTAGTTGGCAAGCTGCGCTCTACCTGCAGCTGGGGATGAACGGCGGCGGTGATGTCATCAGTGGTCGGATCTCTCGGGTAGTCGAGGGCGTTGGTCTTACAAAAGGCCTCCACTTCACCACCCTCGAACGTACGTCCTGTTAAGTGGGGGACAGCCTCGTCACTTTGAGTCTGTGAGACAATTTGGTGGTAATATGGAATTGAAAAATTAGCTTGATGAGAATCAAGTCAAAATATTATGAGAACGCATCTTTCCCCTTCAAAAAAAAACAGTCCAGCTTAAATTGCGTGGCCGAGTTTCCGTCATCGGAGGATTGTGAGGTAATAACAATGTGATGAACCACATCCACATCGTTTTCGCTTCACCAGAAAGTGCCTTGAGCTTATCCCAGCCGTCTTCGGGCAGGAGGCGGGGGACACCCTGAACCGGTTGCCAGCCAATCGCAGGGCACATAGAGACGAACAACCATCCGCGCTCACACTCACATTTGGGGACAATTTCAAGTGTTCAATCAGCCTGCTATGCATGTTTGTAGAATGTGGGAGGAAACCGGAGTACCCGGAGAAAACCCACGCAGGTCCGGGCAGAACATGCAAACTCCACACAGGGAGGCCGGAGCTGGAATTGAACCCGGTACCTCTGCACTGTGAGGTCGACGCGCTAACCACTGGACCACCGGCCGGTCCCCCTTCTCACTCTCGTGACTGCAATTTTTTTGTTTTGTTTTTTTTTTTGTTAAATAGAACCTCCTTTTTCAAACATCATTTTCATATCACTTCTTTTTACCCGTGTTGCATCGTTTTCAATATTTCTCATCACATTGACTTTTTTCCCCTCTCAGTTTAATATTTCAACTTCATTTTGTAAATGTACAGATTTTTTTTTCTCTTCATTCTAATATTTAAATTCCTTACTCTGATTTTCATTCTGACTATATATTTTTTTAATTATTATTTTTCTGCATCATTCAATTAGATGAGCTCACCAGAATTGAATTTTTCAAGCCAATCCATGATAAGGTCGAGCGCTTCCATCACCATGTTGTAAATGTCCGCTCTGATCACGCCGGTGGGTTGAGGTCCGACCTCCAAGGCTGTTCACAACAAGAGAAAACACAACCAAAATTGGCGTTTGGAAATGCTTATAAGCCAGGTATTGAACTACCGGTACATGAAATTCCAGTTTGCAACTCCAGAAAAATAATATAGTACCCTAAAAGAAAACATTGCGTTTTGAACGCAAGTGAAGTTATTCCTCGAGAATTATGGCTCTCAGAGACATGCCAACACATTAAAGCGCACACACTTACTGAATCCATGTTTGGCCACAGCTTCGAGTGAGTAAGCCTCCGGAAGCGGCGTGTCGAACTGGATTGCTCTCACAGGCCCAAATGATGCTTTACTCTGACAAAAACAAACCATGCAACTTTTTTGCCATCACTTGAAATACAATAAAATAGCGATAGTACACAATCTTCTTGAAAGGGTACACTGGCCAAGTTTGTCATTAAGATTCGCACAGTTATCTATCGAGAAAAATTCGACTCATCGTTAAAATGCCGGGATTTTTGTGTTCGAAAAGATAAAGCCAATTTAAATTCTTTCAAACCTTTTCAGCCCTTAGTGACACCTATGACCTGTTCAACTTCACCCTTTCATGCAACAATAATGATAACCTGTAACCAGATAACATGATAAGCTGTCCACTGTAGTAACCGCTGTCCCTGAAAGGGTCAAGAAAAAAAAAAGTCCCATCTTTGGGTCGGGAAGGTAAAAAGAACAACAACTGAAATAATGTGGTCGCACAAGCGTGCACGTCAATCCTGGTGGATGTGTTTGCTCTGAACCAGTCACATTTAGACTTGTGGCAAAAAGGAGTCGGCACACCTCTGCCACCGTTTTAAGTGTCCCCTCCATAACCCCCGAATAAAATTCAGATATTCTAGTAGCCACTTTCCTAACATTTCGTCACATCTTGGAGCACAAGAATTAGCCCACAGAGGGATCTCACTGTTCAAAGATATCCGCCGGGAGAAGCGTGTGAAACAGTTTCATGCAACTATATCAAGTTGGGAAAATATGGCGCCGCCGCTTTACCAAGCGCTTTCTCCAAAATTGATGGAAAGGGGAAAAAAAATGGACAAGGGAGGCTTCCAAGAGGCAACATTAAAGGAGTTGAAGGAATTTCCGGCAAGTAAATGCGACAGCAGTCTCCGGTCGTGGCAGAATGCATTCAAGTCCAATGAAACCCGACTGCTAGCACAGGGTGCGCGTGCGTGTGATTTACCTGTATGTATTTAAAAATGTGTAGAGTGATCCAGTCAAAGCGATAAAAGATGAAGCACATGCCCATGTTGGCGGTGGTGTTGTGGATGTCACACAGGATGTCCACGGCTTGTGGGCTTCCTTTGGGGCCGAACAGAGCGTTCAGCTCGTGAGCTCGCTTTATCTCGTACGGCGAGGAGGGCGTTAGAGTTGCACTGGAAGTCCCCAAAACGCAACACCTTTTAGTTTTAGCAGCATCAAAATGTTAAGGAGCCCCCCCCGTTTGAACATACCTCAGCAAAGCATCTGTGAAGCAACGATTGAGATCTTTGTCGATGTACCGTCGACACACTTTAACAGCCTCCGGGTTGGAGAGGACTGTCGTTCGAGAGGCGGAGCCGATCTTGTCAACCTTATTTTTTGCCATCTCTCGCACCACGTACACTCCCGTCATCTCATTGCCGTGCGTACCGCCGCTTATGACGACGCGGGACAGCGCTGGCAAAGAGAAGTGCTCCATCTATCGAGAAGACAAGATGATGATGCTCAGTATCTTTTGAGCAAGCACACGATATCGGCCCCACGAAAAAAAAAAGGCAAACACAGATCCCATGTGCTTCAAAATCAAACTTAAAATGTCAACCTTGAAACGTTGGAAAATATACTAAAGTGGTAGCGAAGGTGCGTTATGTGCCTCAAATACAAAAAGCGTTTCAAGACAAAACCTTCCAAAGCAAGGCAGAGGAAACAAAAGTAGCTTAGCAAACTCACCCCAAAAATTTATGTTGACAACATTGAAACGCATTTACAGAAAACCTGGATTTAAAAAAGCCATTTTACATTCAGCGCCGACTTCACTTCTGTTGACATCTTCAATTTGCGTGCGGCATAACAGCAAATGCAGCTTCACCATGTTTTTAACAATAAGATGGATATCTACTGCATGATAAGTGATATTTATTTCACCAAATACAATTTCAGATTTTATTCCTGAAATCCCCCCCCCCCCTGAATCCGCCAAACAGCTTGGAACAGAAAAAAAATCCTCCTATTTAGGATCAAGTTATTCAGATTCCATGAAAAAAATTTGAAACAATACAAACTGATGGTTTGTCCGGATTCAACCCCCAACTGGATTAGGAGGTCGAATCCGATTTCAGAATCACGATTTGTGTTTTCAAGAATTGATCCAATGCATTGTCAACATTCCATTCAGTTAACCTTTGAACATTTCGGTGGGCCGTGGGAAGTTATTCAGTTTCACTAAATTGGTCCGATTTATTTATTTTTAAGAAGTAATGTACACTGTTGTTGTTTTGTTTTTTTTTTTGTTTGTTTTTTTGCCAGTGACATACAGTGACAGGCAGAGCTATTAAATGTGTTTCCACGACATTGCAAAAGCCACAATCAACCTGTGTATCCACCTGTTGGAGTAAGATCACAGTTTTAACACTCGGTCAGGTTGTTAATACACTGACAGGAAACCCAGAGGGCACATCCATACCTTTTGGTCCTCAACCTAACCTAACCTGTATGTTTTTGGAATGTGGGAGGTAAGCACGAGATAATCTATGTAAGCGCATAGAGAACAATTCACCCCCCACCTCCACCCCCACCGTGCTACCAAAAGGCTTCAAAGTGCAAAAGTCTCATTGGCACTGAGCCATCGACTTGAATGAGTGACCCAGAGAAAGAGGTTGAAGGTTAAACTCCAGACTGTGCGGTTTGTCCAGTTACTCATCTATTTATTATGAAGCGAGAGATCATTTCGGTGAGACTTGTCTGGAGTGTGAGACTTCTCCGGAGTGTTTGCGTCATGTTCTGCCACCTCTGTCACGCTGCACTGAGAGCAAGCTCCCCACGAGAACATTGTCACACACTAATACTTGGTTCTTCCGGCCCCATCAGCGACAGTGGACCGGCGTTATCTTTGAAAGGGGCCTGACTTGGACATTTCATCCTTTTTTTTTTTTTTTGGTGCCGAAATAAATCTGAGCCCTGCTTTTTAAATTTGCACTCCAATGCAAAGCCGTCACGTGTGTGATGTTTGCCAAAGCTGGCTCGCCCCAAGTTCATTACATCACTCCTTGTCACATACTTGACATATTGTAGTTAAAGTGCAGATCGTACAGAAAGTTGATCTCATGACCATTCCCAAGAAATGAAAAAAACAAATCCCCCCCCCCCCCCCCCCCCCCCCCCCCCACGACATCTAAAGTATGCGATGTTGTGCATTTACGAAAATTGAGAGGGACTCATAGAATATTTCCAATGAGCATTTGTTTTCTATTTGCTACACTATCCGGTAGCTCAGTACTCGATTAGGAATTTGTTTGTGTTGTGCCTTTCATGTGACATTAGCAAGGTGGCTTTGGCAGGCCTAATTAATTGCAGAAAGCAAATTTACAGCCACAAATGTCTGACTGACCTCTAGTTTGTTTATTTCACTGTTTAAAAAAAAAAAAAAAAAAAAAAAAAATGAACAGCAAAG